CGATATACAAATCAGTTTAGTTCACTGTGTTCGAAACACAATTAAATCGTATAGAAAAATTTTCTTCTATCTGTTCAACATATTTGTATGTAACTCGTACATCTTACACAAGCAAAATTCACGTCAAATTACTCATCTTAGTGACTTCAGACTACAACTAATTAAGGATAATCCTATTAGACTCATTGGTCGCCATTTTCCGTCACTGATATCATCATCATCGACACGTAAAAATCCTCAAAAGTGGTGCGTAGTTTGTGCAAATACGACAAACAGAGCCACAAAAAGCACTGAAACCAAATATGGATGCACTGAATGTAATGTTGAACTCTGTATTTTAGACTGTTTTCGAGATTGTCATACGCTGAAATACTTTTAGACATTTATTTTTTAAATTGTCTAAATAAATATTTCGCTCAGCGTCCCGAAAAGTTGATTTTTTTTAGTCAACAGAAACTCCGTCTTCAAAGGGCTAACATAATCTATTCTTTGCACTCTTATGCTCTCTTTTAATATATATCTAAATCTTGATTTTCGTCAAGGTAGAAGAAAGAGAAAAACATTAATTTTCTAAAAACCTACATAAATTTTGTTTCTGGGAGTGAAAACAGAAGGCAAAAAGCACACTTATCAACCTGTCATTTTTTCACACTAGAACATAAAAATATTTCTTCAAATATTTAAAGTAAAGAGAATACGCTCCAACAAAAAACAAAAATGCTTTTGAAAGCCCTATTAGTATCAGCACTTTTATGTGCACTGGTCTCAACTGCTAATGGTAGGCTTATGTCTTTACATTGAAATTCTTCTTATACATTCGGATCTAAAACAAAATTTATATTTCTTTGTTTGCAGCTCACATGGCAGCTTGGTCCAAGGGCATGTACTGTATGAAGGTACATAAGTTAAAAAGTCACTGAAACACCATATTTTATATTTAATACTTTTTATCCTACTCGTAGTATGACGCCTAGTATTTTTTTTCTCAAATTTATGTTCCCTTTAGGGACGCGGAGGTGAAAACAACATGAACAACAACCTACCTGTAAACCCTATGATTGACCTGACTCAGAAGGACTGGTGGTTTCAACATTATCAAGGCTGTGATAAAGAACCGCCACCAGTGGGCGACTATCTTGAACTACCGGCAGGGGGCTCATTCACTGTTGAAATTGCTACTAATCGTGCTTTCACAACTTTTGGTCACAATAAAAAATTCAATGGATATTTTGGTGGTCCACAAGAACTCGAATATACACCTTGGGGTTGTGTTTCCTATCCTAATTTGCATACACCAAATCAAACTTTAGCACCGGGAACAGTTTTTGCTATCTCCTATCAGAATAGCATCGATAAAGTTACACCGGAAAATTTGGTTGTCTTCACTGTAAGATACAAAACACCGTGGCAAAGAGTAACGTCGTACGATGTGCCAAATGATTTACCTCCCTGTCCCCCAGGTGGTTGTACATGTGCATGGGGGTGAGTAAATATTTTCACGCATTATAATTCTTCGAAATTCTTTTTCTTTGACGCTAGATGGATCCCTATGGGTTGTGGACAACCGAACATGTATATGCAAGGTCATAAATGTATAGTCACCGGCTCAACTTCCACAAAAAAGCTTGCTGTAGCTAAACCTCCAGTTTATTGTGAAAATGATCGTTCGAAATGCGTAAAAGGAGCAAAACAAATGATCTTCTATTTTCAAAAAGATGGTAATAATGTTTTCAATGTTCCAAAAATGCCAACGTACAACGAAGTTATGGGCTTTTCAGAAGGCGCACAGAATGATATTTTTGAAGACTCTAATTTAGAGTCGATTGTAGGCTGAATCTGTCGTTTTTTTGTGCATCAATAAAAAAAAAGTCAGTAGCACGGCGGACTGACCAAAATCAAAATAAAGCATGTATGGATGATAGGGCTAACGGAAGGTGAACCAAGATAATGCGGATGTCATTCATAAAGTAAACTTTGGATAAATTTTCGCATTCAGTTCCATTTTCTAGTTTTGAAAGACAAAAACTCACAGTTCTCTAAAAAAATGGCACTGTTAATCTACATCCACACTCCCATTCATACCCTCACATGCACTTGTACACGTACACTTACACCCTGATCTTTCTGAGGATCTGGAAAAGGCTTTGTTCAAAACTTTTGATATTTTTTATGGAAGCCACTCTAGTTGAGTTCTCTATATGGGCAAAGTTTCAGATGAAATTCGAAAATGCAAGTTCTTCGAAACCCTGCGACATTTAGAAAATAGACATATTCAAAATCTGATAGGTTATTCAAATATCAATAGGAACTCAAATCTTTTTAGAGGTTTGTTCTAACACTGTGTAGTATCTATAGAGAAAAAAAATCATTCGACTCCGAAACGAACAGCTAAAGAGATTGTCTCGTCAGTCGTGGTACATGGTACGAGAAAAGCTTACCCTGCATATCTCTAGCGGTCAGATGCTGTTCAGATTTTTGATAACCGAATCACAAACGTTAATAGCAGAGCTGTTAAAATTACAAAGGACGGAAAACGACATATGTTGATTGTAATATTTTACAGTATGTAGGATATAGAAGACTGAGAAAAGGGTATCCTAAGTCCAATCGTGTTTTGTTTTTGAACAGCGAATAGCAGCACTAAGGTATCCATCATCGTCTATGGGGGTTTGAATTTTCCTTTCTGTACTTTAACAGTCGTTATAGTTCGTGTTTCACAAAATCGTTGCAATTATTGAAAATCTTTGTTAATGAAGCAGTTGAAGAATAGGTTTCTAAGACAATAATCTATAATTTTCTTTAATATTAACATGACTTATGAAGCGCGTAATCTTCTTGACTATGAAAATTCAATCAAATTACCATCATCTGAGTATATTAAATGATATTTCTTTTAAATATTTGATTCATTTCTTCTAAATATATATTCAGAGATCTCATTATTGATTATCGTGATGTTAAATTAAATTTAAAATTACTTAATAAATATTTTGAAGTAAATGCACTCGATGAGATACTTGTACGTCGTCGACATGAATTTAAAACACGTACAGAACATTTACAAAAACGTAAAGAAGCGTTATATGAAAGAGAAATTATGTTTAAAGAAAGAATAATTGGGTTAGAAAAAAATCGATTATTTTTCTTTCATCTGTTTAAATAATATTATTGTTTTTTTAGTTATGAAATGTATATTAAAGTAAGAATAAAAATTAAGGTATTATTAATTGATAGAAAGTTTTTATTTAACAATATTAAGGAACTATCAATGAAACGTGATCGATCATTGCGTCGAATTGATGATGAAAAAAATTTAATTAAAAATAAACAAATTGAAATTAATTTACTTAATCAAGAAATTCAACAAATACAAGATGAAAATAAAAGATTAGAAAATATTATTCTTCAATATCAACCTCATTTAAATCTTCTCACACAAGTTAGTTTACAAGGATATTGGCGAATGAGATGATCATCCTTCATTTTAATAACTACTGATACTATTTTGTGAAACAATTTCAAGCGCATATAATGAAGATGATATAACCAAATACTAGGAGTCAGCATGTCTCCAAACTACCCTATATCAAATTTTGTTGAAAGTATGCAAAACTCTAGCATTTTTTATTTATTGTTCTTTGAGTTGTTGTGTTTCATGGTCGAATCGGCCAATTTATCGATTCCTAAGGACAAAAAAATACATAGGTGTGATGATAATAGCATTTTGAGTGAAAAATCTTCTATCTATTAATAATAAACCCATCATATCTTATCATTGGACATGTATGGATCTTGATAAAATGGCAAAAAAGAATTTTTCGCTTTCAGAATCTTGAAGAAAGGTGTGAGGAAATACAAAATTTCCAATTCATATTAGAGATCGAACATATATTAAATCTTTTTATAATAGTCCATTGTTGTACCTCCTCCAGAAGTCTGAAGACGAAAAACGTTTTTTGCCATTTTCCAAAGATTCATATATGTCAAATGGTAGAGCATGATAAACTCATTATTGATGAATAGAAACCTCCAATATTGAATAATTTAAGACATAAAAGCCAAAAATTACAGAAGCTAATAAAATATGCTAAAATTTTATATAGATTCGTTTAGAAACATGCTGACTCTTAGTATTTAATCAAGTCAACTATAATTACTATAATATTATTTAACTGATGTATGATTTTCCAGAATGTGAAAACTTGTTGAAAAAGCAATTTCCTATATAAAATTCGATGTCCTATAAGTTTTTCTACAAAATGATATCGTTGACTTTTCAAATGAGGGTATTCATCTTACTCAACAGCATTCTTGTTGTTTTAAATATATATCATATTGTTTTTTAGATTGTAGATCAAACTGATCGATTTCAATCAATTGATGAAATGATTGAAAAATTTGATATGCTTTATGCTAGTTATCAAGTAGGTATACATTTCTTTTTTTTGCTTTCTAACTTGTTTTATTTTCATCGAACTTCTATCTTGAGGATATACTTACGACTATTAAAAATTCTAATGAAGAACTAAATGATGTACAACGACAATTAGTATTAACTATAGAAGTAAAATATTTTGAAATGATTTCATTCAAATTCAATTGAAATTCTAGAAAAAAAATAATAAATTATCTTTAATGAACAATCGTATACGAGAATTACAACAAAATTTTATTGATATTCAACAACATATTGATAAAATTCAAACTGAAATTAATAATTATCAACAAACATCAATAGAACATTTAACAGAAATTAGTACGATTAAAATGTAAGACAACAAATATAAAAATAGATTCTTTTTTGGTGTACTTCAAAATATTTATATTTAAGTGCCATTGAATCCATGTTTGATTTGGTAAAAAGATATAGTCATCGTTGTAGAAAAAAAGATTTAAATCTTGATAAATATTCATATATGAATGATAATCAACGTTTATTTATTAAATTAAAACAAGTAGGTTCATACTTTTAAATTTATTGATTATAAATATAACATTAAAAAATAAATATTCTATAGATTGATACATTTCTTAGTGATTTAATTTATTATGTAGATTATGTTCATAACAAACAAAATAAAATTTCATCAAATAAACATTCAATTAATAATGATAATTTAAAAATTACAAAAAAAATTAATTTAAATCTAATCACAGACAGTACTAATGATACTAATCAATGGCGTGGTCCATGTCAGATAGATCGACAACAAACATTGATTGCAACAATTGATAAACATCCACAACAACCATATATATCATATAAAGTAAATATTTCTTATCCAGATCATCATAAAATCTAATCGACAAAAAAAAATCATAGTATCTATAACAGTCAAAGTCGAATAGACCACTATCGTAAAACTATCTATTGAATTCGAAAAAAAACACACCAACTTAGTGTTGCATGAACACCACATTCCAATGACTTTGTGGAACCAATAGAGCCCGTCAAGCTGATCTTAATCAGAACTGGCTCGAGTCAATCAATATTGAAAAAAAACAAAAAACTTTTCATGAATGGAGGGATGTATGTCGCACCATCGACATCCTACTTCAGTCGAGTCCAGAAACGTACATCAGAGTCAACTAAATGTCTCACTAATAAATCATATTTAATACAAGATATTTTTTGAATAGTAGGTTATCAACGAATAAAACTCATCAGTCAAAGAAATCCGTAGTGTGTTCAACATAATTGACTGTTAGACAATTTAAAGAGCTTTGATCGCTTCTACAACTCTTCCTTCAGTAATTATTATTGAAAGTCTTTTAGAATATCATCGATTTCCTACATCACTAGTTTCACAAAATCTTTGAAATGTGATCGTAATGCAATATTCAGTTGGCGCGTTTTTTCTCCACATGTAATTTATAGACATTTTTTTTATCTAAAATATACTTCAATAAATATAAGATCAAACTATAACCAAAAGGATGAACTACTATATTTCTTTTTCGCCTGAATTTTTTTGTTTGTAATGTTTTAAGGTTCGAGGTGAAGATGATATATTATATACAATTCAAATGATTAATATTGATAAATCAAATATTTCTCAACCACATCATAGTGTATCACCAAATAGATCATCAATATCAACGATATCAAATAATAAAGGAAGAAAAAGTAGTACATTTCGAACATCTATATCAAAGTTACGAAGAAGAAGTATTGATATACAATTACGATCATTAACAACTCAAAGTCCACGTACTAGTTTCAAATTAACTAATGAACAATATAATAATGAAAAAATACCTTTTTCAGAATCGGATTTTATTCATTGAACTTGGTTAATAATAATTAATTTATCGTACATTGAAAAAAATATATAGAAAGGCATTGAACATCTTTAGATAGTCTTAACTAATGTGAGTCTGGTACCATAGATTCAAAAGATGATTTTAAAAGTTTGATCCATAAACAGAATTGAAGTAGGTTAATAGAGAAAGATTTCATCTATCTAATGATGTATATGTCATCAAATTTTATTTCGTAGGTACCTGTCCCGATTAACACATCGTAGCACTCATACTCTTTCATGTCCTTTACCAGTTAGTAGGTAGAGTGTCGTCAATTTGACAAAGAACCGTCTTCCTCTACTAACATGCATACATCTTATTTTGAGGTTAAGAACCAGTTTCATAAGAAAATGTATGCTACAAATATAAAGAGTGTCCCATAAGCTTTGGGCCTCAACGAAAATATCGTTTATATGTAAAATAAAATCGTGCTGAGATACATATGATGAATTTATAGTTCATGAAAACTTCGTAACAAAAATATATTGGTAGATTTTATTTATCTTATAATAAACCATTTAAAAACATTGTCATATATACTCAAAGTTCATATAGATATAGTTGGATAGGGTTCAGTTAATAAAATTCCTTTTTCTTATGTAATGCAACGTGTTCTTTCAAATCATAACAAAAGAGAATAATAAACTCTGTTGAAATTTTAAAATTCTTGGCACATTAAATACATTGTAAATATCTTAAAATTTGTTAGTGAGATCATCCGAATATGTTTAATATTCTTGTACATATCCTTTCATTATTAGTTGTTCTTTTTTTTTTCATCTATTACTTTTTATTTATGAAAAAATACATCAAGAATAGAGATGATTAACATGCATACATAACAAAAAATAGATTATCAATTTTTCAATATCTTCTATTTAAATAAAAATTTCAATTTGATTAAATATCGTATTCGAACTTGTTTTGTATCATAGACAATATATTCATTATAATTAAGTGAATAACCTTTTGGATCAACTACATTAGTTGATTCAACAGGACCCATAGGAACAACAACATCATCATCTCTATTTTGAAAAAAATTCATATATTTATATTTTTTTCTATAAAACAAACAAACGATAAAATTAAACTTACAATGTAATTGCATTTTTCAAATTTGGTGCTATCGAACCAAGACCTTTAACACTTGAAAAACCTTCTGGTAATCGATGAGCATTATTATCAGCATGAAGTAATTCATGACATTTACCAAGTGAAACCTAATTTGAATAATTAAAATAATATTGTTTAAACAAAGAAAAATGAACTTACTTCAGTAAGAAGAACAAGACCAGTATTTTTACTTGGTGTTGGATAACAATAATTAGCACTTTTACTACTCATATCAGCAAAATATAAACCTTTTCCAAACATATAACCAGTCTAAATTATTCAAAAAAAAAAGAAAAAACTTTAGAATGATGTATAATTAACTTTTTATTCTCATTTTTGATCTATTATTAGAAGTACCAAATGTGTCAAAATATATTCTACGACTATTTTTAAATAAATAAAAGATCTGATTTCAATCCGAAAAAAGAAAAAGCTGCCTTCGAACCATATATCATCCTCTAAAAATAAATTACTTTTCAAAAAGAAATAATCTTCAATTCTCATGACATTTAAGAAAACAGAGTATTTATAAACTATTCTATATCTCAACAGTAACATGATTTCAACCATAATTAGTGGATCTTTGTTTAGTTACTATGTATGAAAACTTCGAACAATTGAGAACACAAACTCTACATCAGGCTAAATTATTATTTAGAGCTAAAACTAATATCAGTTGTCAGTGACGTATCCCGGATTTCTCAGTATGATGAATCTCGATTTCCGAGCACGGGACCCAGATGAAACTCATGGAGGGTGATGTTGGATCCAAATAATGGAATTTTATCAAAAAAAAAATTTACACTCGAAGTTTGCGAAAAAAATTAGCATTTTCCTGATTCCCCCCTCGAGGATTTTTTGCTGTTAGTAGTAGCATGGTTTTTAGAATTTCATAGGAAGCTACATCGAATTTCATCGATAGATTTCAAATTTCGTCTGAAAATATGCAACCGTTCAAGAGTTATGACGATTTGAAATTTTGCAAAAATTGTTTTCACATGTAGCAAAAACTCAAAAAGTTATAACACTTGAACGGTTGCATATTTTTAAACGACATTTGAAATCTATCGATGAAATTCGGTGTAGCTTCCTATGAAATTCTAAAAACCATGATACTACTAACAGCAAAAAATCCTCGAGGGAGGAATCAGGAAAATGCTAATTTTTTTCGCAAACTTCGAGTGTAAATTTTTTTTGATAAAATTCCATTATTTGGATCCAACATCACCCTCCATGAGTTTCATCTGGGTCCCGTGCCCAGAAATTGAGATTCAGCCTACTGAAAAATCCTGGATGCGTCACTGTCAGTTGTCGGAAAAATATCGAACGATAGCATTCCTGTATACCGAACGTTTCTTCTATAAACTTTTTATTTTGTTTCATGATTTATTTCTATATGAATTAATTTTACTTACTACAGGTGCTTCAGGTGGTGCAATACGTAAACCTTGACTCATAATACCAGCAAAATTAGTTAAACGTGAACCATGCCTAATATATATATATATAAAATATGATTGAATATTCAGAAAACCAAAAAAAGAAAAAATGTTTATCCTATACCAAAGAAGCATTTTATTTCCAACATCTTTAAATATTTCATTTTCATTTTCTCTTTCAACTTTAAATATATATTCTATTTCCATTTTATATTGTTGATGTGTTGATGCATGTGTTGTTTGAAGATATTTATTAATTAATATATATATATCTTCATGTTTTTCAATAGGATATAATTTACATTTTAATTGTTCATAATGTTGATCAATTGGATTTAAACGTATATTTCTATCTATATTTAATGTTGTAAATGCTATTTCAATATCATCAAGTGCTTCAAGTAATTCAATTTCATGTTTTAATTGTTGAATAGTTTTTATTAATGGTGGTGTACTTCGACCAAATTCATGTGGAACTAAAAATTAAAAAAGAATAATAGAAAAAAAAGTCTGTTATAGATATACTTCGAGTATAATAAGTATTATTTGCTTCAATAAATGCAGAATTAAATTTATTTATTTTAATATATGTTTCAATTTCTTTTAATGCTGCATAACCTGCTTTAATTTGTGTTGAACTTAATTTACCTAAAAAGAATTAAAATTCATTAAATAAATAAAAACTTCTTTTTTTTTTTTCTTCTACCAAGAGGATTTTTTCTTGCATCAAATTTCATTTCAAGTAATGCTTCTTCCATAGCTTGTATATTACATATTAATTGAATAAGATTTTGTATACGTTTATCAAGTTTTGATTCTGGTATAGGTAAATTTTTTAATTGTTCAATAGCTACGAGTTGTTTTTTATTATTTTCATCAACTTTTTCAGATTTCTATATCAATAAAAAAAAATAATATTTATAATTCAATAAGATAACAATATTCAATTGTTAGATATCCATTCTGTACTATTGAAAACGATCAGATATCTTAGATATTTGATATATCAAAAATTTAAGCTGAAATAATTAGAATATTTCAATAGTCTTACCGATGGATTATAATCAAGTTGAACATAATCATATTTTCCAGGATATTTTGTAAATGTATCACGATAATAAAAATCATTTTTTGTTTTATCACTAAATCTAATATATATATATAATTGAAAATTAGTTTTTGATATTAAAAATTAATTATCTTTTAAATAACAACTATAATATTTTATAATTCAATCAAATTTGAATTAATAACTTTCTACCTTTTATGGGTTTCTTAATTATATCTATGTATAATCTAACGGGTTAGCTATAATAAATTGAACTAATGCTAAATACATACAAGATGTTAGTTTATCAAATAAAAGATAGCAAAATTTCAAGTTTTAAAAAATAACATTTATTCGACTGTGACACTTCGATGTTCGTATTAGGATCTCGAAAGCAAAAAGTTTTTTATATAGGATGTCCCGAAAGTCATTACAGTTAGAAAAACTTAAGTATCTCCGCTACGGCTCGAGCAACCGGACTGACATAATATCGATACAGACAAAGTTAGAAAGAACCTATGTAATGAATTAGTTGTTTTATCAATGATAGAGACATGTCTAGACAGATCCTTTGTTAAGTATATGTTTTTTCCTATTTGTGAAAAATTAAAATTTTTTTTTTTTTTTTTGTTAACGTCATTGGTGCTATTTAACAAAGCTTCCGTATTGTAGATACTTAAGTTTTGGAACATTCTAAGATTTCCTCCGAACTTGAAAATAACTTTCATGATAATTTTTTTAAACAATGACATTTTCTTTTTTTGAGTTTAATTTCAAATACAATTGCCGAAATTCATAAAACACTTTTGTGTCCTAAATTTGTCCATGAAATTTTAAAAAAATAGATGATTTCATCGAGAATTCTTTTTCATTCCGCAATAAGGATATGCTATAGTTTTGCAGGACTTTTGGATATACTTTTGAAATTCTTCATCTTTGATATACAAATAAAGATTTTATATCAATAGTAAATAATTGAAACAATAAAAAAAAACAAATTGTCAGATATTCATCTCGTATTAAACTAATTGCAAATCATTTTTAAAATTTACATACTTTTGACAGAAAAATCTTTTTGCTTCATCTAAATCACAACCAAAATGTTCTAAATTATTTTGTCCAGTATATCCAACTCGTCCCCTTTAAAAACATATAAATAAATAAATCAAAGTAAACTAAAATAAATATTTTTACCAACGTAACCAAACATAATATTTTTTACTATGATTTTCTTCAAGTAATTGAATTAAATAAAATTTATTATTATTATTTCCAACATTTGTCTAAAAACAAAAACAAACATAGTTTTATTATCAAATTATTTCCTAAATTTTACTATACTTGATTAAGCATACAATCAAATACATCATTATTTTCATAATAAACATGAACTTTTCCTAACATTGATACACATTCAGAATCAACAGGAACTTTTCCAACAACTGTTGTTACAGTACGTACTAGAACAGAAAAAAAAACAATATTATTTTAAATCTCCACCCTTTCACAATCGATTTTCGATTAAGAAGGGTGTGTACTATGTACAAGTAAAAACAAAAAAAATCATTGAAATCGAAAGGAAGCAGATGAAGAGATTTCTTCGTAATAATTCAACTTACTTGCACTTTTTTCTATTGGAGCAGATTTTGATATGTTACGTTTTTTCTTATTATTTTCTTTACTCTCATCGTTATCTAATGATCGTTTATTTGATATTGTTGAAACATTCAATGGTAATTTTGCCACTAGATAAAGATAAAAAATTAAATTAAATTAAAATTAAAGAAAAATAAAATTAACAAACTTGATTTAATACAATGTATTTTTCGAATAACTTTTGTATTTAGATTTATTTCAATTAATTTATCAAGATCGATATCATATAATTGATTTTGATAATTAATTGATAATAATGTTTGATTATTTTCAATAGTATTTGCAATTTTAATCATTATTTCAACATTATAAATAAACCATTTTTTATTTTCATTTTCATATTCATATGTAAAAAAACCATTTTTATCTTTTAATTCAATACAAATACGTATACGACGCATAAATTTTGTTTTTTGATTTATTTGTACCATATCACGAAATTTAATTAATAAACTTATCTCTTCTGTTTGATTAATAATAACCTTCCGAAAAGAAAACAAAACAATATTATCAAACAAAAAAAGTAAAATTTATTATTTACTTCACTATTGCCATTATCATATGCTTGAGAAATTTTCTGTTGAATATCTAATGAATGTTGTTGCCAAACACCTTTATCTCCTTCCCATTCCCATTGAACAGATAAATTTGAAAGTTTAGTAATATTACTACCGGATGTCATTGAATCAATCTATAGAATTAAATACAAAATTCAAAGTATAATGATCAAATGAATTCTATTCGTCGAATACTACAACAATTTTAGCTATATATAAAAGATCATAACAATGACTTTGTTTCAAACGAAGTCTACAATATGATTTTGATTTGTTGCCGCAAAAAAAAATGAATTTCTAATTGGATAATATCTATTGTTTATGTACATCATAGATGAGTGACATCTTTTATTTAAAAACTAAAAGATTTTAAAGTTTTATTAAAATTTTTTTAACTTAAAATAATTAATTTATTCATTATTGATTAATGAGTTTAATATTTAATATAAGATTAAATGGTATTCAAGATACCTCTAACAAAACGTCATTTAAAATGAATATTGTTTCAAAATAGTCATAATGGTATGTTCGAAAGTATAAAAGCAAACAAAACCGATCAATTTTGATGACAATTTTGAGTTCTTATAAAGTAATATTATTTTAGATCATGATGCATAGTACTTCTGATAATTCTATTGAACCTTTTAATTCTTCACAACGAACTCATCGAAGTCAAAGTGCAGTAAGATATAAAAGCTTCAGTGTTTTTCTTTTTTTGGTTATAAAATTAGTTTATTTTATTCATAGATTCAAGCTCATCGTGGTGATGTACCAAGTAAACATGATGAATATTTAATTCAATTACAAGAACGAAATCGTTTACTTAAAGCATATCATAATCAACATCAACCAAAAGATAGTAATTTAAAAAAACGTGAAACCGGTTTTCAATTATATTTAAATGGAGCACATAGTGTACGACAACGACGACCACCATCAATAATAAGTAAAATAATAATAATAATAGATAATAATTCATGATTATTTTTTAGATACACCATCAAATCGAACTATAACACCTTCACCATATTTTTCTGATTTTTCATTTCCAACACCATCAAATACAACACAACAAAATAATTCATTACCATCAAATGGTCGTCGTCGATGGATACCATCGACAAAAACAAAAATTAAAACTGCTGATGGTTCAATTATTGCTGATATTGATCAAAATTCTATTTCTAATCATACGTCACATATGCCACATTCAAAATCTTTATTTAATAATAAACAATCTCAACAAATAACATCAAAACGTGCAGTACAATCAGCTGGAACACCTAGTCAAGCATTACCAAAATCAGCATGGAATAATCATGTTATTGAATTAGATGCTAGTCAAATAAAATCAAATGGTTTAAATGATCAAATATCATTTTGTAAAATGAAACCAGAAAATATTGATCAAAGTTGGATGCCAAATTGGTTTTCTAATAAGAAACCGAATGAAGATGAAATTCAAGGTAAATCTTTTTCTTTTTTTAAATAAAAGATCAAGATAAACAAAGTCATTTTTACGCTTCAAATTGAGTTAACGTTATTTTTTTTTTATCGATTTGTAGTAAGGCATGATGCCTGAACATATTGATATAGGTTAGTTTTTGTACAAAAATGAGTCAATCGCTTTCGAGTCAGGACTATGTGCATCATGTAGGTCCTAGTGAACTATAAATATCCTGAAAAGAGTTCGAGTCTCATATCTTCTTACTGCCGAGATATTGCATTTTTAGGGTATTTTTTCGCTCAAGCCCGTGGAGTTTCAAATTTCGACTTGAAACTTTGCATAGAGACAAATCTTAGTGAGAATAGTTTATTTTGAAAGTTTCAGATCTTTTCGTTGTTCCTATTCTAAAATATGGCTATAGTAACAACATGTTGTTCGCATCCCTGATATACTAGTATTTTCCGATGTTCTTATTTCAGAATAGGAGTAATGGAAAATGCTGAAACTTTCACAATACATTATTCATACTAAGACCTGTCTCTGTGCAAAAGTTTCAAGTCGAAATTTGAAACTCTGTTTTCCTAGTGTTTCTGAGAAGAACCACGGGATTGAGCGAAATAATACCCTAAAATTGCAATATCTCGGCAATAATAAGATGCGGGACTCGAACTCTTTTCCAGATATTTGTAGCTCACTAGGACCTACATGATGCACATAATCCCGTCTCAAAAGCGATTAATCAGTTATGTGTGGTCCTTCGTTAGTCAAATATGAACTATAGAGGTTTGTTGGTAGATTGATCGACTATAAAAGCTAAGGGCTGATGCTCTTCGTCACTGGCATGTTCTATCGTTTGTTGGGCTCAAAGAGACGCCAAAATATGCTGCGGATGTCGTGTAAATCCAGTTCAATATTGTATTTAATACATCAATTAATGTTTACACACAATCCTCTAATATACCGAAAATCGAAAATCCATTTCTATGATTAACAGTTTAGATAATCCAATAGCTGACATAGAGAGTCGAAAATGATGTATGCATTTCTTCTTGACTTCTATTAGAAGATTTTGATTGGCAATATTTTATAATTCATATTCAAATAAATAACACTATTTTAGCTGTAAAGCATGTTTTTGAAGTGCCTAGATTAAACAAATTAGTCTACTCACGAGTGGAAGAACTATAAAAACCTCGATTTTTCAAAGCTCCTCTCAAAATGTTTTTAAGTCATTCTGTATACTTCAACGAATAGAAAAATTAATCTATGTGTAATATCATCAAACATCATGTCACACAGTAAATCGATAAAAAGTAGAGCTGATTTTTTCAATGCAAAAAAAAAGAATGACCTTATTCATGCTTTCACCTAAAAATAAAAGAAGAAATATTATATATTTTATTTTTCTTTTCAGATTATGATTCCGATTTTGAAGAAACTTCAGATTCAGATGATGATGATAATCATCAATTATTAAATCATGTTTGTAAGTTGATATTTTTATCATTCAAATTATGATAGTAGAAAAACAAAACAAAAAAAAAAAAATTTTTGTTTTTCAGCTTTATCTTTCGATGATATCCCATCAATAGTTGAATTAGTAAGTCAAAAAAAAAAATAGTGACGAAAGCAAAAGAAAAAACTAATCATAGATTAATCTTTAGTCTATAATTCCTGAACAAAACAATGATAAGAAAAATAAATCTCAAGAACAAACTTCTTTTGAATCACCATCGGTCGGTAGGTAAGATAAAAAAAAAGAATTTCTTTTTTTTATTTTATTTTTTTTTACTAACGACAACTACGTTGTTAAGAAGAAGGCAACTTAGCAACTTCTATAAAAAGAAAAAAAAAGGTAGAACCAAAAAAAGAAAAAGAAAAAAGAAGACAAGTATTCTTAAAGTAATATAATGGTGAATTTAATTTTTGTGCACATACTGTTTTTTTATTGATTGTTAGTTGAAAAAATATATTACACACGTATTGTTTTCTTATTATTATATATTTAACTAAAAATGAGTCGTCGAAATATATCAAAAACTCCTATTCCAAGTTATTATAATGTATCAAGATCAGGAGATAGTCGATCGGGTAATAGTTTTTTGCTCTTTGTTCAAAACAAAAAAAGAAAAAATTTTCTTTCAATTTCAATGAATAATATATCAACAGATTAGACAATAACAAATACTAAACATTTTTTAGAAAGTAAACGAATTTATAATTAAATATTTTGTAAACATTATTCTTTTCCTGTTTTTTTTTGGTATATTATTAAAATTTTTTAAGAAAAAAAACATGCAGGATGACTTTGAAAGGAAAAAAAAAATAATTTTGTTTTTCTTAACTGCATACAAATGTTTTTCTTATAGAGATCATTGTAGGAAAGAAATACTTGATGTTGTAATTACTTTTGTTTTTTTTTTTCTTAATATAAATTGTTACTCGTATTTATTTGAATATAGGAGCACGACTTGTCGGAGGCGATCCAATCAAGAATAGTAATAATCAACAATTACTTGTCGTTGGAACAAGACAAAAAGCAAGAGTAATTGATAGTCTTGATCTTGAAAATTTTTTACATCCAAAGTATGATGTTTTTTTTCGGTGTAGATATAAATGAGATTTAATTATTATTGTGTGTATATAGAGAAGTTCATATTGATACAGAAATTGATGATCGAAGATCACCGGGATTACAACAAATATCAAATAGACGAAGTCCATTTCGTGATCCAAGTTCCAACGGTAAAATTTCAGCAATTAGACATTTAAAAAAAATCTTTTATTTGTCATAGTTGGATAGATCTTATTGAGTTATCTTTACAAATAATTGTTTTTCATATATCCGAATAATACGCTTTGTAGTAAAAATTAGATCTCACAGAAAAGCATCAAACTTCGATAGTTTCAATATTTTCTTTTAATTGAATTCATCATATAATTAGGAACAAAATTTCAGACATATTGTATTGTTGAGAAAATCGATTTTTTTTTCGATATGATAATAGTACGCGATTTATTGAAGAGTAAATTCAATTTTACTACAAAAGTATATTAACTCGATGAAATCTTACCAACTATGACAAAAAAATAAGAAATAATCAGCTTCTTAACTAAATTTTATCCTATCATACAAAATAGACTGTCGTACACCAAATACCGATCGGCTTGAAAACTCCATAACTCAAATTGATCTGTTCAGTCGAAGGCATCGTGGAATGTTTGAAAGTATTTTAAAAAAAAAAGTAATCTTTCTAATTGAAACATTTAATTTTTTCTTTTTTTCATCAGCTGAACGCATAGAAGAATATTTTACTAATAGTACATCAAAATTCGAAAATGACAATGATGAAGAACAGTAAAATTATATTTTATTTTCTATAAATAAAAAAAAAAAAAATTGAAATTCTTTTAGATTTACAATACCTGAATTACCTAGTGGTGAACAATTAGTTTTAAATTTAAAAACAACATGGGGTGATCGTCATTATATTGGTTTAAATGCTATTGAAATATTTTCTAGTCAAGGTTATCCAGTTGTAATTCGAAAAGTATGATATAGTTTTTTTTTTGTTCTCGAAAATTAATTAAAACAAAAAAAAAACAGTAAATAGAATTAATCATTTCATTTTGATAGATAACAGCAGATCCAGCAGATATAAATGTCTTACCTGAATATGGTAATGATCCACGTGTTGTAACTAATTTAATTGATGGAGTTAATAAAACTCGTGATGATATTCATATGTGGCTTGCACCATTTACACCTGGTGAAAATCATTTAATTTATATTACATTTGAACAGCCAACAAAAATTGCTATGATTAGAATATGGGTAAGATTATGAAATATTTAACTTGATTTAGAAAATTAAAATCTATTGCAAAAAAAAAATTCATTTACACCTGTAATTTTAATTAGAGTTTTTTAGTAATTTCAAAAAAAGGTGTCTTTTTTCATGATTGTGAAATTACAAAAAAAAAATAATTATCATTGACAGCATAAAAATACTCATATTTAATTATAGATTTCATATCTGGAAAAAAAATCTATTTACAGATGAATTGATTAATAAGCAAAATTTCAAATTAGAATTCTATTTATTTTTTTAAACAATAAATCATAATCATTGATCGATTGAAAATTTTATTAATCTAATCAAGTCCTACCTTACAAATAAAATATTAGCTTAAATAACAGAAGAATCAATTAAGATACTTTCCTCATGAGACAAACGAAACTATATAAAATCTAACATGATCTCACTCAAAAAATATAGACAATCATACACTAATTTACATCATATTATTACAATAATATCTTCCTAGCATGAAAATAAGTAAAGTTGATGTTTTCCCTTTGTACTTTATCACACTAATACTCTTGTATAAGTTTCTCTTGAAAAATTTTGCATGAAATAATGATAAAGTATTATAATATTATTGAATTCATCCTATTTCATCTCAGTTAATAGTCACAGTTGTTGAACATGTTAGCAAATTGAATCAAATTTAAAGTTTTCTATTACTATGATTGTGAATCTACGATCATCAATCAAGTAACTTGATTACTGATCAACATCAGAGGCATACATATCAAAATGATATTATGCTAATTAAAATACTTATTTTTAGAGACTGGGAAAGATTATCCCATCGACTTAAGAGAGTATCATATGAAATGATCTTTCTCATGCTGGTAGCTTACTCGATGACGTATTTTTGTTACTTACAAGAGAATATTTTCAATTGTCACATCGCTTTTTGAGTCGAGCGTATGCACGTCATGTAGATCCTCATGATCAATGAGTACTATGGAAAAAGTTCATGCTGCTTGCCGAGATATTGCTCTTTTTAATGTATGTTTAGGAAAAAAAAGCTGTGGTCCCCCTAAGGAACACTAGGAAAACTGTAGTTTCGAATTTCAACTTGAAACTTGGCATAGAGCCTGGCCTCAATGAGAATCGTTTATTGTGAAAGTTTCAGATCTTTTGATTGCTTCTAGTCTGAAATAAGAACATCGGAATTTGTTGGTGTATATAAGCGATTTTACCATAGCTATATCTTAGGACAAGAACAACGAAAAGATCTGAAACTTTCACAATAAACTATTCTCATTGAGGCCTATCTCTATGGAAAGTTATTCGAAACTTAATGTTCCTGAAGAGAACCACAGCTTTTTTTTCTTTAAAACATACAGTAAAAATGCAATATTTCAGTAGTAGTAAACTAGTGGCACACACTTTTTTGTTTGAAAGTATTCAAAGACCATTACGTCCTACATGATGTGCATATACTCGACTCAAAAGCGATGTAACAGTTAGAAATGTTTCTTCGTTAGATCTTGACTAATAACAGACATTCTTGCATTGCTATGTTCATAAAATTTTCTCAAAATCTTGACCTTTGAATAATGATTATAACTGAAATATATGAAGAGTTTTGTACACTTTCATATCTATAGTATTATTCTTATTTCTTTTTGTTAAGAATTACAATAAAAATCGTATTCATTCTGTACGTGGTGCTAAAGATGTTGAAATAAGTCTTGATGGTTTTATGATATTTAAAGGTGAAATAAGTCAAGCTTGTGGTAATATTATAGCTACAAATGATCCATCAGCCTATGGAGAAGTTTGTATTTTATTATTTATTATTTATTATATTAAACTAAATTACATTTAAGACTATTTTATTTACAACTGATGATGAAATTCTTGAAAAAATATCAATTCATGATGAAATGTATGTTGATCAAGAAACTGCTCAAAATGATGAAGAAAATATACGAACAAATGCAAATCGACCACCAACTGCTGAAACTAATGTAAAAAAATTTATTTCTATTATATAATTCTTTCATTTATATATATATATATAATAGATTCGACCAATGACACGTGCTATGTTACGACGACCATTTACAGCTATTCGTTCATTAAATGAAAGTCAAATATCAGAATATTATGGAAGAAGTATATCATCAAATGAAGAATTTCAAATATCAATTCTTTTCTTTTTATAGAATTAATTTTGACTATAACAGAAACATGGGGTGATAAACATTATTGTGGTTTAACAGGTATTGAAATTATTGATATAAATGATGTTGAATGTATAATACAATCATATGATGCACGTCCACGTGATATAACTGTTCTACCAGGAAATGCTAATGATGTTCGAACACTTGATAAGTAAAATAATAAAATGAAAATAATTCTGTTTCTATTTTTTTGACAAATTATTTTAGATTATTTGATGGTGAAAATCTTACTTGTGATAATCGTCATATGTGGTTATGTCCATTTCGAAAAAAAGAAAAAGTACGTATTTATATATCATTAAATGGATCAAAACGATTACATGGTTTACGTATATGGAATTATAATAAATCATTAGATGATACATATCGAGGAGTAAGTTTAATAGATTTTTTTTTAAGAAAAAAAATACATCATTGATTTATATGAATATAGGTTAAACGACTTCATGTACAATTAAATGATAAGATTATTTCACCAAAACAAGGCTTTCTATTAAGACGTGCACCTGGTCATTGTTTTTTTGATTTTGCACAAGAAATTGTTTTTGCTCATGCTAAAACCATACATGATAATTTACAAGAAAAGTATTAACCAATTTTTTTTTGTTTTTTCCTAAAGAAAAATAGTACATTTAACTCAAATTTAAATAAACAATAGAGTTTTCTATCAAATGTTTTATAGATGAGCTATAAGTTTCTGGCAAACTATGAAAAGAAGATAGTAGAAAATGCAGTAGTTGCTTAGTTTGTTCAGATTTAGTATAGAACAGAGGTCCAAACAGGCCACGCTTTTTAGATCTGCAGGGTCTGTCAAGCTTTTCGAGCGAGTACAATAATGATAACAGACTAAAAACCAGAGGTCCAAACAGGGCACTAGGACTATTGCTCAACCTGATTCTGACCCGCCTGCCATAGGCATCACCCATGGTTTTCAGACTAGTGCAAGTGACAGGTCAAAAATTGCTTGGACCTCTGACTTGCACTAGGCTGAAAACCATCGGTGATGCCAGGTCAGGATCAGGTTGAACAATAGCCCTAGTGCCCTGTTTGGATATCTGGTATAGAATGCATTTGATAGAAAATTCCATTGACTATTTGAATTAGAGTTAAATGCTCGATATCAAAAATATGTTTTTTTTATAGACAATCGTTGGCTACTAATCGTGACATTGAGTCAGATATATCAATGCCAAATGGATGTAAGTACAAAAGGTTTTATTACCGAATAAAGACGATTGTTTTTTTTTTGTGCTTTACAAATTATTTTCATAGATGATAAAGATACTTAGCGAGGATACAAAATCTATCATCAAAAAAAAAGAGAAAATTTCTTCCGAAAGAAAATCATCTCGTACATGAGAAAAATCTGAAAATACATAAAGTATCATATTCATTTTTATCTATTATAAGATTTCTTCTTTAGAGATATCTAAAGTATACTAAGGTTTCTATATTAGCATAACGTTATCCATTATTTGCTTTCAATGTATACATTTTATGGTTGCAATGTATCAGTATATATTCCTATTGACTTAAGTTATAGAATGTAATGATCGTATTGGAGTGTGAATGTCATCGAAAACAAAACTCTTATACCCATACCATATTAGGATATTACAAATAGAAAAAAATTTGTGATTGATGTTCAAATATTAACAAAAATGAAAATGATTGTTCGAGATTATTTTTTAATCATTAGTATTTGATATTTGAAGAAACCTTTTTTTATTTTTTTTTAAATAAGGAAAGAAAAAATTGAATTATTATCATGTTTATTTAAATGCTATTTGTAGTTATTTATGAATTTCAACTACATTCAACTCATGGTGATGCTTATTATATTGGATTAAATGGTTTAGAATTTTATGATGAACATGGTGAATTTATTGGTTTAACTGAACAAAGTATAAAATATTTGCAAAAAAAAATAAAATAAATATATAATTTTATTTCGTTTTTTTTAATTTTTTTTTAATAGATATTGCTGCTTATCCTCATAGTGTAAATAGTCTTAATTCAGGTACAGACAATGATAATGATGTTCGTACACCAGATAAATTAATTGATGGTGAAAATGATGAAACTGATGGTACACATTGTTGGATTGCACCTATTTTAGCTAATGTTGTATGTAGATTGAATGAAAAATTTTTTTTTGAAATATTAAAAAAAAAAATTCTTTTATTTTTATTTTAAGATAAATCGAATATTTGTTATTTTTGATCGACCAACATCTGTATCTATGATAAAAATATGGAATTATGCTAAAACTCCTAATCGTGGTGTTAGAGAATTTTCTGTATGTATAAATATTTTTTGTTTCTGATAAACATTAAAATTATGATTTATTTATTAGTTACTTGTTGATGATTTACTTGTATGGACAGGTATATTAGATAAAATAGATGAAAAACAAGTGCCTTTTAATACAATTCTATTTTCTGATGAAAGAATTCTTACTGAACATGAAAAACAAAGTGTCTTAGAGTACATAGATATAATTTGTAGTTTTCGAATATTCATCATACTTTTTATTTTAGAAATAAAGGCTCACCAGATAATATTTCCAGTCAAACATCAAATAGAGATCAAACTGTTGATTATTGTAAGATATTTTCATAAGTTGTCTATTACTTCAATGCTAAGAATTAAATTTCAGAAAAAAAAAACAAACATTTTTAAAGTCTTTTCTTTTTTTTGCAAGAAGAAATGATAGTACATTGAATGATTTGTTTATATTTTGAAATTTCTCATCATTTTTTGTTTTTTTCAGCCCAACGTCCAACAACATCCGTTCCACGTAATAACAAACGACGCTAAATTTATAAAACATATATATATATATATTTCGTGTCGTCCGTCAGATTATTTTATTTAATTATTTATCTATTAATCATTCATTTATAATTTACAAAAAAAAAAAAAATAAAATAAAACATCAAAAACAAAAACAAAGTCTAAGTACTGTTCTTATTATTAGGAATACATACATATATATATAACAAGAAAACAAAATTTCACTGGGACAAAATCTGACTGAAAGAATTTTTTTTTTTTTATGAAAACAAAATATTTTATTTATTCAATGTATTGCATATAGTTGAAAGATTTGAAGTTGATGTTGGCATCATATAACCACGTGGACGAACTAAATATGTTGTCATATTACCTTTACCTTTAACATAAATTGGTCCACGACATTCACATGGATAACCATGTTCAAATAAAACTCGTTGTGTTTCTTCTGGAACCTAAATATAATTGTAATTCATTTTATTTAATAAACAAACAAAATAGTTTTACTTACATGTATACAACTAACGACACCAGTACTATCCATACGTGAAGCAACATTTACTGTATTACCCCATATATCATATTGAGGTTTTTTTGCACCAACAATACCTGAAATATGGTCAAATGAAAACGATTGAAAAAGAAAAATACATTTTGTATTAATAGCGAAATATTCGTAATAAAGATTTTATAGTCTATTGATTGGTTATGTTTATATATTTTTTTATCATTGTTAGATATGTGTATGAAATCTTCATTACTATCCTATATCTATAAAATCAGGAATTCTAGTTAGAATGCATCAATTTCATTATTATACATGGTGATCCGTAATTGTGAAAAATCTTTGTGTGGATGCGGTACTTTTATCTTAACTATGCATAATTGTGAGTCTTCCGTCATAATTATGCATAGTTAAGATAAAAGCATCACATTTACGGATAGTTATACCGTCTTTTTTTTGAAATTATAGGTTACTGAATGATAGCAGTATGGCCGTAACTACGCTAAATATCGAGTACCTATAAAGACAATGTGATTTTCAATTAGATATGCATATTACTAAGTTTAAGCTTCCGCCACGGCTGGTTACAGACTAATCTTGAGTAAATTATTCACGACTATTTCCTTAAATCATTCACCTGTTAACATAATCACTACATTTTGACATATCTTTGCTTCTCCAATCAGTCCCCGCAGTCTATTTTCTGGATACGATTGGTATGTTGATCGTTAGTGTACTTAGGGTTGACTAAAAGTTCTGATTACGGTGTTTAAAGGACCTTGTCGGATAAGGTAATCTATTCAGAAAAGAAAAACTAAATATATCATGTTGTAGAGCTTCTTGCGGCGCGTCGAATGGTATATAGTAAATCCTATTTTCATAAGACTTTGAAGGAACTAGAGTCAATTTACTGATAGATAACTGTACACTAACACTTAAGCATAATAGGCTACTCAATATTGTGGTCCTTGATATTACTTGCAAGTATTTGTAAAATATTTTTTTTCTCATATGCGACGTTGTAGAGTTTTTGACGGGCTACAATATCATATAAGTAGCATCTCCGCTTATCTTGTCGGTGTGGATATCGGCGAGTGTACAGTTGTCTATCAGTAAATTGACTCTAGTTTCTTCAAGGAGTTATGAAAATAGGATTTACTATATACCATTCGATGCGCCGCAAAAAGCTCTACAACATGGTATCTTTGGTTTTCGCTTTCTAAATAGATTACCTTACCCGACAAGATCTTTTAAACATCGTGGTCAGAACTTTTGGTCAGCCCTAAGTATATAGGAAACTTTGCACCAGACTGGTCTTCTTTTTGTCCGCAGTCATAATTCGATAACTGTTAAGCAGATTAATAAACATTTCTGAAGTCTATCAACTATAGAAAAAATATCGGACTTGTCGAAAACCGGAACATAATCGTCTTGAGCTTAAACTTCATTATTAAAAATGAAACATATCGAAATAATCATTTTGAAAAATTCAATTGATTCATTTACCAGCAACAAGAGGACCATTACACATGCCAACACGTAATTTAAAATCATTGAAACAATCTCGATTAATTCCTTCAAGTGCTGCAATCATTGCAAAAGCAAATTCAGCAAGTGCAACAATATTTTGATTATATCGTTCTCTTGTCTAGATAAAAAATAAGAATTAAAAAGACAAATGATAAAAAAAAAAGAAAAATTTCTTTTTCTCCGTACCATTCGATGTTCAACACCTGGATTAAGACCAGCTGCTGCCATATAAGTATGACCAATAGTTTTTATTTTTTCTACACAACTAAATTTATTTTTATCTAATAACTAAAAATGAAAGAAAAAATAAGATAAATAAAGAAAATTTTCGTTTATTAATACAAACTTTATCAAATTCTGCAATGATTTCATTAAGTAATCTTAAACATTCTAATCCATCATTATTTACATCCGATTGAACATAAAATTCTTTAAAATTAGGTATTGATGCAAACATAACAACAACATTATCATAACTTTCATGATAAAGACCCTAAAAAAACAAATTTTATTTAGATATCAAAAATTCTTATTATTTAATTATTTTCAAATGAATAAGAAAAGACAATTATAAGATTTCAATTACAGCACGAACCAATTTCAAACATTTCCCCACATACATAACTAGTTAAGACAGAAAGCTAGCTTGATGCAGAGTTCTTGCGCTCTATTACTTGAGTTTCCCATCGTGACTAACAAACTACAAGGAGGGTCATTTCATAGTTGATAGTACTAAGCTTCGAACGGAGTACTTTGTGAACACGTATTGAACTACGTAACCACTCAATCATGGCTGCTCCGGACTTTCAGAGAAAGACTTTTACTATCAGAGATGTGCACCGCGCCTAAGAGTTTCTTAAAAAATAGTGCTTCATTTTTGTGCACTTACCTAGAAAGAACAACATCACTTTGAAAGCTGTTAGTGCAATTCCTCCGGGATTAAAAATGTGAAACACGATGTAGCTGTTCTTTCTAATCATTTTCAAACTGTTTATTTCCACCAATTTTTCGAGACACTGGTTCACAACTGTTTACTTAATCCTCTACAACTAATTTAAGAAACTAGTACATCGATTTCAAGAACAAGCTATTGACATACGGCTTTTAATCACATATCAACAATGCCGTGATCCCTTCGGAGCCCATCGGTAACGGTCTGGGTGAGGGAGAGTGAGTCCAAAATTTCTACCCTATACACTTCAACATTCCTTTCAGATCGTGTTTCACAAAAATACCACAGAAGAATATTTTATTAGGAGAAATGTAACTGTAGATAGATATTTATACTGACAGGCTGTTCGTTTTCATCTTAACTTATTTTATAATTAAATTTGCGCAAGCTTCAATTCAAAATGAATAAAAATGATTACGATCTTATTTATAAATTTAACAAATGAGTATAAGATAGAGTAATAAAACAAAAAGTTTGTCAACGCTTTTAAGTTTCTTCTCTTAACTTTGGTCCAACAATATTAATTGAAGTTCTATTGAATGAAATAGATTTATGTTACCTGACTCATATTTTCTTTAATAATAATTTCTGCCACATGTTTGGGTAAAATATTTTCTAATAATAATCGACTAATTGTGCTCACTGTTTCAACTTCATGTTTTTCATTTTGAAACTTAATTGTCCATAATAAATCCAGTCGACTCATATATTCATACTGAAAACAAAAAATATGTACTTCAAGTTGGTTCTGCTTCTTCTTTTTTTTTTCATTTATAGTACAAACTATTAAATTTACCCGTCGATCAAGTCCAATTAATAAAAGAATAAAAAAAATAACTTCAAATGTTGTTTCAATAAGTATTGTACTACTTGCCATACCATAATTGTCAGCAATAATATTATAAATATTTGAATAATATGAATAAAATACATAAATAGTTACAATTAAAATCATAATTAATGCTTTAAGTAAAAAATAAAGATGCATAAATGAAGAAACAGTTAATAAAGCAAGTTGAATAAGTAATATATGAAATTCAAAATGAGGACATAATTCAAATAATAGAGAATTTGTTAAATATGATGCCATATTAATTGTATGAACTGGTACAACAATTGTCTAAGATTCAAAAAAAACAAAAAAAGAGACGATCATAAATAATTCATTGATATTATTCTTTTAGAATTAAAATATGAAATATAATGAAAATACTTTAATCAGAAATCAAGATTGACCAATTTGAATTTAATCTACTGAAAAATCTTCTTCATCTTTAAGAAAAAAAAAACCTTTGTTTAATTACTAAAATGTCATTTTTTTTCTTACGATTATAAGCTTATCGTACTTTTCATAAATAATAGCCACTGAAAATTTCAGCCGTACCGATACAAAAATAAAGAATTGACTTTTAAAAATATTCGAGATCCATGAATTAGTTTTCAGATATATTTTTATTTAATCTCTTATCATAATTAATGAATTTCAAAGATGATATTATTTAGTCAAAAAATTTTTTGATTGTAAAAGATTCAAATATCTTTCATTGAATACTAAAATTTCCTATCAATTTGATAGAATGAGAAACAAGTATTAAAGGTCTAATCAAGTCTCATGACTAGAGGCGTAACCCGAGTTTTGACGATGGTAGGGCTCAGCAACGCTTAAATATCCGGTGGTAGGGCTCAGGTTACTGAGGTCTGTGGGGTGGTAGGGCTTGTGAAAGGATTCAGCTGACGATGCTAACACCGGTGGTAGGGCTGAGCCCTACCTTGGTTACGCCACTACTCCTGACTTTACTGTATATCTATAAATAAAATTTTACTTGATTAAAACGATTTTGTGCAAATGAAAGATTTGATGATGAGAGTAATATATCACTATTTATTGCTGTTGTTGTATTTTCAAATGGTTCAATAAAATCAATTGGCGATGACCATATTACAGCAAATGGTGTTAAAATACAAATTATAATTAATATAAGACTAGCAGGTAAACGAACAAAATAATAATGTGTTACTAAATAAACTGATTGATGAAGTAAAGAACGATGATTGTCACGTTTTAACTAAAAAAAACAAATTCGATTAATTAAAAAAAAAAAAAATGATTTACTTTTGAAAGATCTACAACACAGAGTATAGCTACTGCAGCAAATATACATAAACCACATATAACCAGAATGAGATATAGAGCATTTCTATAATGAATTTATAAATTCGAACAAAAGAAAAAAAAAAAGGTTTTTATATACTTTTCAAATATTAATGCTTGAATAACTATAATTGCAAAAAAAATACAAGCTGCATTTGCAACATAATAATGATAACGTAATTCAGGTAATGAACGAAATAAACTTTCATTAGCTCGACGATTTCCTTCATCATCTTCTAAATTTTTATGTTCTTTATTTTCTTGCTTTTTAAATCCAAGTGTTAATGGTTCAAGATCATGTGTACTATGTTGATGACAACTAAAAATAAAATAAATAATAGTTTGTTTGTTTGTTTATATAAAATATAGTCTAAAACAATATTGAAGATATAAGATAGAATAAAATAATCTTTTTTTTTTATAGCAATTACATTGTATTTTACATTTTAATCGTGTTAAAAGATTTTTTTTTTGTAGTTTAAACTTACGAACAAATTAATGAAGTTGTTAATGGTTTTAAATTATCTTCAAGAAGTATAAAACTTTTTGCTGCATCTGATTTATCATTATTACCAAAATGTTGTGTAGCAAATGGTGTTTCATTTGACCATGTATCTAATAATTTTTGTATTTTTTTACTTGATTTACGTGTATCACTACCACTAGAAAAATATTAATTTTAAAAGAATAAAAAAAAAAAAATATTTTGTAACTGTATTTTACTTCATCATTAATTGTTGTTGTACATTTGGTACATCAGGTGGAATAATAAAATATGTTTTTATACCCATTTTTGCAATATAAGCATCACGTTCATGTCCATTACCTATTTCAACTTTATATTCATTACCCAAATGAAGTAATGTACTTTCAGAAATATGAACACGACTAAAACAAATAAAAAAATTTTTGTTTAAAGACAAATTGTTGATTGTTTTTTTTTATAAACAATATTTAATAATATCTTTGAGATTAGAATAAGTCTGAAGCATTTCAAAAGCTTAAGCAATATTTATTAGGAAAATAAAAATTAATAAACATATGGAAAAGATTAAGACTTGTATTAAAAACTAATATATTTTGTATTAGTGTCTTGTTTATGAATGATAAGATGTACTTGATATTGACTTTAATAATTACTTTAAAATAACTACAAATTTAGTTTTGTTTTTTTTTTTTTTTGGCAGATAAAACTTCCGTTTCAACGATGATGATTACAATAACTCTCATACAATACAAAAGAAAAGAATATTTCTTTATCTATAATGTATAATGAAAATGAATGATACTAATAATTGACGATAATAATTCAAAAATAAAAGTTTATATGAACTATTTGAATAAGTTAAGTTTTTACAAAATTTTTTGAGAAAATTTCTAAAAAAAACAAACCAAATAACAAAAACTTTCGACATTCAATTCAAAGTTTGATTGATCATCATTGATTAATGTCCACGCTTTAGTACATGATGTTTCTTTTAGCTTATGATGACATTTTCATAGTAAGACATATACATAATCGTATGTCATATATCATTTTCTTATCTTGATAATCTTCTAAATTATCACAAATCGAAAAAGGCTGAATTTTTCTCTAATTAGTAAATCTATATTTAAACTAAATATACATATATTATTGAGAACATATAAAATACTAACCCTGGTATACCACCAGCTTCAATATGATTGGCTAAAGTAACATCATCTGACCATGTATCATATTGCCATTTTTTAAGACCTAATACACCACATAATACTCGTCCTGTATGAATACCAATACGCATATCAACATTAACACCGGTTGCTTCACGTACTAATCTAAATAATAATAATGAATATTTAATCAATAAAAATAAAACGTATATATACTTTATATCTTCAATCATTTTTAAACCCATTCGTACACAATTTAATGCATGATTTGGTCGACTTATTGGTAAACCACTAACACAATAATAACAATCACCTAAAATTTTAATTCGCATACAATCACATTCCTAGAAGAAAGAAAAATAAAACAAAAATTAATTTTCTTTTATTAATATAAGAATACTTGTGCTAATTGATCAAATTTTCCAAAAAGTTTATTAAGTATTTGTACAAGTTCTGGTGGAGTAAATTTTTCTGATAATGGTGTAAAATTAACAATATCAGCATAGAGTATTCTAAAAAAAACAAAACACCAAAAATATCAAAGAATTTGTTAAAAAATAATATATATATATAAAACTTACGTAACATTTTCATGTTTTTTTATATATAAATCATGAAATGCTGCTTTACGTGTATTAATTTTTTTTGTATTTAAATATTGATCATCATAATCCCGAGATTGAAGGTTATGATATTTAGCTGTTTCTTTTACTTTACGTAACATTTCAGATTTCATACTTAAAGCTTTTATAAGAAAGAAAAAAAAATGAAAACATTTATTTATTTATTTTTTTTAATACCAATATGTGCTGGAATAACACTAAGAATTAATGTTTCTTGTTGTTCTTTTTCACGTTCAAGTCTTAAACGAGCTTCAATACAACGCATCGTGTTATGATATGTCTTTTTTTGATGGACATCAGTTAGATAACGATGACATAAACCAAATATGTTACATGCAGCAAAAAATAATGAAAGACAGATAAACTAAAAAAAAAACAAGAAAACATATGTTGTTTGATCAGAGAAGAATAGTGTTATGTTTAATAGGGTAATCAAATGAGTACAGGTTTCTGGAAGAACAATAGACAATCAGCTATGTCCATTCGAAGACAGGAATGTCAATTTTTTTATTTCATTTTTTAAAAGTACATCTAATCTTAAGCAGACAAACAACATTCCAAATTCATGATAACAAGAATGATGACACTTCTAGTCTAAATTCTGAAGAACTTTGAAGATTGATTATGCCTCTTGACAATAGCACTTTTCATAATTATCAATAAAAGCATGCAACATGCTTCGAAGCTAAAATTCTATATTAAACTATTTCGTTATCTATTTCTGTATGAAATTTCAAAATTTATAAAGCATCGTTCATACCTTTAGAAAAAATGAACAATTTTTGAATATCTAATAATAACAATAAAATATATCTTTATTGTACTTAAAGTTCCTACATTGACAAACATAATTTTCATCTTATTTTTTTTTTTACATTTTTGACAAGAACATTCTCCAGTTCTCAATTTTATGTTATTTATGATTATCATTAATTATTTAAAAAAAAAAAAAAGAAAATATTCATTAATTATTAATTTTACTATGATTTCAAAAATCAAATGATAGAAAATAAAATAAATCTACCTCAAGTTTAAATTCCATTCTATGAGAACGATTATTTGGATCTTGAATATTATGTGTACGAATAATAAGCATTAAATGAATAAAAGATGTTATTAAAGCCATTAAAACTGTCCATAAACGTGGTATAGGTAATGTTGTATGTATAGTTATTATTGAAAATGTTATAATACCAATTAAACGTACAACTGATATATATTGTTGTAAAATAATTGGTATTATAGCAAATAATGTCAATAAAAACCATATTAATAAACATGATATATGTACATATTTATGAAAAAATTTTTCACGATGAAATAATAATATAAATATTAATGATAGAAAAAATATTCCAATAAAAACAAGAATTTCAAGAATAAATTGTGATAAATAAGGCTAAGAAAATGTTTAAAAAAAAAGAATATGTTTTTATTTATAAAGTAGAAAAAAATTAAAAATATAATTTTATTTACTTTTTCAGAAAATATTGCTAATAATAAATAAATAAGACTTTGAAAAGCAGTAAGACATAAAGAAAAAAGAACTAAACCATGTTTAATACGTATTAAATAAAGACCAAAATAATGTTTATTTTCCATTGTGGCTAAAAAAGAAACAGAGACACAAAAAATGGTATTATATAAGAGACAAAAACTCATCAGTAGAAATTCAAAATCTATTGAAGCGCACAACCTTTTCATTTTCTTATTGCTAAATGAAAAATTATCAAGATAAAAGAAAATTTCTTCTTCGTCTTGTTCTTATTCTTCTTTTTTTCTATAGACTTTTATCTCGTTTGATACTTATTAAATTCGTCAAGCATATATAATCAATTTAGAAAAAAATATGAAATTAATGACAAAAACAAGAATTGAAAAATATAATAGATATTCTATTGATAAATAAAATTGGATTTTTACACATATACATTTATATTTATGAGAAAATATAACATATGTGTTTGTTTTTTTTTTAAATAATTATCAATAACCTTGTATTTTATTAAACTAAATATGAAATATAATTTTTTTTTTTGACTTACAAATAACATTTTATTTGTCTAATTCACCTATGCATAGAAGAACTAAGGAAATATATATATATATATATGTTTATACACTTGCTTACAATATTTTGAGTACTATAAAAGAAAAGAAAATAGGTTTGTGTCTAATATAAAAGACTTAATCAAAAAAATTTTTTATTAGATTTCATTATTTATTTGCTCGCTTTTGTATATGTATGTGTCATTACCAGAAATACATATATACGAAACTATCTACACTTCCACTTCCGTAGCTAATCGATGCTGGTTGAACCTCATCTCCGTTTGTGGCTCGCTCACTCTTGATCTGTCGTTAGAAATGATGTGGATGAACCACTTACACTATCACCAAACATACGTCCAATTCTTTACAACAATGAACGTTAAAAATGGCCTCAAGCATTCATTAGAATGTTATCATCATAAGAAAAAAAAAAGAGTACCAGAATACCAATAAGAGCAACTGTCTTTTTCTTTTCTTTTCAAGAATCTCTGTTGATTATTGATAACGACATCAACCGATTAAGTTACTACAGAAACTTGCTCGATGTGGATTATTATCAACATAATACATTAAATAAGTTAGATATCTCTACTACATTTATTTATTACTATCTATTATAGAATGTAATGATAATTTTTTAATAAAAAAAAAAAAAAAAAAAACTGCATTTTTTGATGAAACTTTCTTCTTCTATCATATAACATAAAAAAGCAATAATAGTCAAATAGAAATATCTTTACAATGATCGATATTACTTTTTTCTTCTCTTATGAAAAGAGAAAAGAAGCTTACAATGATAATGTTAATCAAACCTGAACAACATGTCTTTGTTTCAGAAACAAAATGTCATTCGTGCGACTTTCTTACTGTTACTTCTTTTTTTTTTTTTTTTTTTTTATCTCCTTTTTTTATTGCATTCTCTAGAGAAATGTCTAAACGGCAGTGCCGAGTGATGTGAAATGAGTAATCAACAAGCGCAATGATACAATACAATTGTGTTCTTCTAAAAAAAAAAAAGAGATGACGATAGTCGATTTTAGTCGCGAAACAGATTAACGATAACGACAAGAATACGGATGCATCAATGCACAAATGAAAAAAAATGATAGAAAGAAAACATCCGTTTATTTCTTCAATGATTCAATAATTCAATTGAATTAGTACGGCTATTTAAATAAAAATAACTTGTCACGACTATAATCATAACTATCATATGTTAATAAAGTACAAAAAGAAAAAACAAAAAAAATGAACAACAAAGAAAAACCAAAGAAATCAATCTATAACATATCATACCTGGATTTATATCCATTGATGACCAATCAGCTATGATTCCTAGATTATTATTAGTATTATCATATGTATAATCAATAGCACATTCATGAATTGATTCTAAAAACAACAAAAAATAAAAGGATAAACAAAGAAAGTTCTTAAGATATTTTTATATACACAAGAGACTTTCCTATAGAAATAAAAAACATGACTCGTCATTTGACGAACAAGATTATAACATAAGCAGTGACCATATGTGCTGAGAATATAACAATCTGCTTCTTCTCTTTCTTATACGTTTCTCTTTTCTCTAATGACACCGATTGTTTTATGATTATATATGTTTTGTTTTTACAGTATTCGACATATAACACACTGAGGTGTCTGATTCATCCTAAAATTGTATATTTGTCTGTATGTCAGTGTTGAGTCTTCGTCGCTATAAGAAATATGATGGGCGACAGTTGATGACAGTATATGATGGATTTGCTAAGCAATACAGCATTCATCTTGTTTCAACAACAGGCGGACATACGAATATCATATATATACACATAATATCATTTTTCTCATTTAGTAAATCGATAAACGATAGTTGACGTTTTGTCATCATAACAAAAAACAATATCTTCAGAATAAAATCAGAAATCGGTTTTTTTTTTGTTTTGTTTTGTTTTCTTTCTTACAGTTTTTACACTTGAAAAAGACCATATGATATCTATAGAGAGTTATAGCTCATTAGTTCTTGCCTATAAAAATACAATAATAATAACAAATGCATATAGATGTATATATATATATATTGCTTTTTATTCAATTGTCCTTTTGGATTACATCATATTGATAAACATAGACATTGATTATATTGAAAGGTCACTTTGTACTTGAATTATAAGTGTGATTATAAAATAAATATGTTGAATATTATACTCGTATGGATAAACTAACAAGAGGTTAGTTTTATAGACAAAATAACAGAGAATATCAGGAATGCATAATTGGCCTTTTCTTTTCTATGCTATATGTCTTTCTAACATTCACTTACTTCGTTTGTCGTTTGCGGGTGTTGAATTCATAAAATAATCACAATCTTTATGTTGTTGATCAGTTATTGGAATCGATGTTGATTGCTGTTGTGACCGTCGAAATCGTTTAAAAATAGAAGATTGATCTAGTTGTATATTGTCTTTTGCCATTTCCATAAAATTGTCCTCGACGATATCTTAAAATAATCATATAAAAGTTGTGAAGAGTTTTTCTTTCTCTCTCTTTTTTTTTCAATTTGAAGATGTGAGTCTTTCGTAAAATAAAGAAGAAAAAAAAAGGAAGTGCAAGTTGAACATAAGAGACATTAATAAGTATTAGAGTTAGCATGTTCATTTATTGACGACAGTTCGGTATTTCAATGAGTAGAAGAGATAAGTTATAGCAATGAATATTCTTTCTTTCTTCTTTTTTTTTTTTTTTGATTTTTACTTACTCAAAAAACAAGAAGATTCTAATGATTGTATTAAACGAAGGAATTTGATGCTCTATATAATAGTCTTAGTATAATAAAGATATGAAGAACACAATGATATGATTGAATATCAATTTTTTTTTTTTGAATGAACCAATTAAAGAGGATGTCTTTAAACAAAGAATTATATTTACTACTATTGCTGACATTCTCCGGTTTTCTTCTCTTTATCTGACACAAAAGGAAAAAAAAAACGATAATATTACGTCTTGTCTTTGTTCATTTTTCTTCGTCGTTTTCTTCTTTCACTAGTTGCTTTCATTAGTAGATAAGATCATCCGTAGGAAAATTCCGACGAGTAGAGTAAGACTGGCACAAAGACATGAAAAACAAAAAAAAAAGGATAATAATGATGATGATGATGATGAAAGCGGAAAGAAGATAAAAAATATTAAAATGAAAGTTAGCTAGTTACTTATATGTAGGAGATCTTAGTATGCTCATCTTTACCGGACGTAGTCCTTTATCTTTGATGATCTATAAATGTAAACTCTCTTATTGAAACATATTTCTTTTTCGTTCTGTTTTTTCTTCTTTTGCTTTTATTGTTGTTATTATTGTTATTATTATTATTATTCTTTTTTTAACAATGATAACAATAGTTTCCTAGTCGGAAATATATATAGTTTTATGAATGTATTTATTTGTTTTTTTTTTTTTTTTCATTATAAATACTCGAATAACAATTAATATCAAAACGAGAACACAAAAATACAACGCATGACATGAACAATATGTAAAATAATAAAATAAATGAAGAAAAAAAAAAAAACCAATTTCGATAATTAGTTTCATTTTTGTTTTTTTTTAATTATCCAGACGAACTATTTGTTTCTTTATCGTCTGAATCTTCATTATCAATTGTTTGTATTTGTTTTTTTAAATCATCATAATAATGATATTTATCATCACTTTCATCATCATCATCATCATCATCTAATGTTGATTTAATACCATGTTCACCAATATGACATGTTGCTAACATAGTTGTACCAATCCAAACAATAGCTATTATAATAAGAGCATTAAAATTAAAATATTCATATATATATGAACCAAGCCAATCGCCAGTTGCTGCTCCAAAATTAACACATGAAACAAATAATGCAAATAAAGTACCTTCAATATTTTTTGGACAAGATTTAGCAGCTAAATTAAGTAATGCTAAATTTGTTATTTCAGAACAAAAACCTGTAATAATAGCAACAAATATTGATGTTAATTTATCTATTGCAAATAAATAAGATGCAATAGCAAATATTCTCATAATAATTGCTATACGAAGTACACGTTTAGTTGGATAATGTGAAAATATTGATAAATAAATTAATGCCGAAAATATACCACAACCATTATATATTGTATTTAATATTGAAACATAAAATGGATTAAAATGAAGTTTATCACGTTGATAATAAAATAATGCTGTTTTAATTTGTGGTGATGCTGAATAAATAAAAAGAAATATAGATATAATCCAAAATCTTTTATATTGAAATATTCCTAATAATATTGACCATGTTTGAGAAAAATTATTTTTATTTAATTTTCGACGACGTTCACGTACTGTAATTAATGTTGCAAAAAATAATATTATTGGACATATTGATGATATTAAAAAAATATATTTATTTGTATTTATATTTTTATTAAAATATTTTAATGTACTATTATTTAATGTTTGATTAATTTGAAATGATGTTGTACTTGTTGCAAGAATACCAGCTGGTATTTGTGAAATAGTTGATGCAAGTTTAGCTGATGTTTGTTGAATACCTTGTAATATACCGATTAATGCTAATGGACGACCAATTGAAATCATTAGTGCATCAACTAAATATTAAGAATAATTTTTCAAAAACTTTCAGAAATATTCCTCTTTCTTTTTTCTAGTTAATAAGAATTTGATTAAGTCATAGAGATTACTAAAAAAAAAAATATTTCAATATGAAAGAAAATTATTGAAAACATTTTGATCTAGTTTAAAAATATAAAAATAAATTTTCTTATGAGAGATTTAGATACATGCTATGAAATAGTTAAATATGATTGAAAGAATTTTTAATTTATAATAAATGTTCTTTTTAATGATATTTTCGAAGATGTTCTATGAGAAGATAGTTAAAAGGAGTACTACAAAATATCTCAATTATATTTTCATTATTGAAAAAAGAGTGCACTTAACAATGCTTTTATTGATTGCTTTTGTGCTTTGAGCTTATTGCCAAAACATGCCTTTGTTATTTATATGTGAGATTTAAGCTTCTCCTAGCAAAAACATTGCAATTTTTGTCGAAAATATTGATCTTAAGATTTTTATGTGATTCGATAGGCTATTTTCGAAAATAGTATGATTTATTTAAACTCTGACACTTTTTTACGGTTTTCTATAGTAGAGAAATTAATGAATATGTGTGAAATAATTAAAAAGTACTGCAAACCTTCGAGAAAATGAAGTTATATTCCGTGCTCATTTAATTATGTAATTATTTTGATTTTATTATGTCAAAAAAAGACGTCTTCTAATACAAATATGCGTTCTCTTTTTTGTCTTTCTTATGCTTCATTACATTATATTAATAACCATTTCTTTCTTCTTCGCATCTTTATCTATTTAATTAGCTGATGTGGTTTTGATTGAGTACGACTTATTATGAATGACTGACATATAATACACTCAATCACACCTCATGTACTTCTTGATTTCAGATTGAAATTTTTAGACACTATAAAAGTACGTGTAAATATTCGTTTGATACGGCATAACTGACGATTAATCTATTTCTTCTATCGTTTGATTAAATTGTAGCATTGATTCTCAATTACAAATTTTTATTTGATAGTTTTCTTAAAACGAGATTTCTCAGCTATTTTACATGCTTGGAGTTTCAGATATTATTTTTTTAACATGAAGAGAAAACTATGATCATTCTATTTTTTTCAAACTTTTTGTAAAAAAAAAAAAGCAAAAGTCAAAACTTGATAAAGAAGAATTTGAAAAATTGAGTTCATTGAAGTTATATCGATAAGTGTTGACGTCAATTTGAGATCTGTATCATTAGATTTCTGGAAGAAATCTACGACATATGGAGATATAATTTTTGATCTTTCACAGAAGAATAACTCAATATTTCGAGCTGAAATTTTCAGTTAGATTGACTGTTAAAAGCAAGCATATAAGAAAAAGTATTCTCGATATCTTCAAAAACAATAATAATGATCATGAATTTTTCAAAAAAATCATAATTATCTAAATCTAATCAATTCTTTTGTTAACAATATAAAGATCAACTGATATTCAAAGTACTCTGATCATATCAAAAACTATATTATTTAAATTTATTAATTTTTCTATTTAAAATCATCTTTCATTGATTTATGTCAAAATATAAGATTAAATTTAAAACTTTAAAGAGTAAGTAAATATGAAAAAAAAACAAAAAATTTGCATGTCATTGTTTACACATATGACATAGCAAAATATTAAAGATCAATATTGATGTATAACTACCTTGATCAAGTCAATGTTAAAAAAAACGGGTACATTGCATTCACGTACATATACGTATATCTTTCTAAAGCTTTGTCTGAAATTGTAGAAATTCTATTTTTATACTACCAAAAAAAGCCAACACAAACTAAGTAGACAATCTTCTTATCGAAAATGATGGTTTCTATGCAAAATACACATCAACCAAGAAAAATGAAATAATTATTTTTTCTTTTTTTGCGTCATATTCATAAATGAAAGAAGTATTCTGATTTATATTGTTTGACTCTTTTAATCTTTAATTTATCAATGTTTATACTAATTATTTATTTTTACTTTAAATATATTTTTTGTACATGTCGTAATAATATTCATTCTATTGCATGACTAAAAATATATCAGAAAAGATATAAAAAACATGAATGCATTGAGTCTATTTGATAATATATTGTCCTCATTGACCGGATAGATATATTTATCAAGACACATTCATCATTATTACTATAAATTTCCCCACAATAAATAAAGACATACAAACAAAACGTGCCTTTTTTTTTTTTAGAATCCATTCTTATGCATAATAATTAGTTTGTTGTCACTCAATTATTTGATTTGTAGTTTACTTCATCAATTCATCCCTTATTCTTTTTTATAATTATCTATTTCTTAGACAGACAATAAATATAAATATAGGTTTTTCTTACTTAAAACATCATTAAATGCAAGTGAAAATGCTGCTAAAACACAGAAAGTTAATAAATAATTGTATTCTGTTGGAACAAAATAAAGAGCAATCCATGCACATAAATTAAGTGCCGTTGTCATTAGAAGATATATAAGTCGATGATAACCACATATTGGTACAAAATCACTCAGAATTCCATAGAGCGGTTTTATAGACCAACTGAAAAAACATATAAATCGAAGAGAATTTTTTTTTGTTCTTTTATAAATCGTATACTTACGTTACGGTACAGGTAAAGAAAAAAGTACCCATTTGTGATGGTGAAAGATTAAGTTTATCTTTTAAGATAGTTTGTAATGGTAAATTAACAAATCCAGATGCAATATCTGTTATTCCTTGAATAAAATAAGCCAATGCAAAATAAATAGCACTACATAAAAGTGTACGAGTGCACAGAATTTGCATACATTTATTTGTTCCATAATCTTTTTTACTATCATTTGTTGATGGTGTTACTTCATCAAACGATTTTGATGGTTCTACGGATATGTTGATAGATTCCATTGTTTTTGTTTTTTTTTTTTTTGATATTATAATCTAAAATTTTGACAATAAATTTATTCAAATAAAGAAAGAAATATGAATATTAAGTATGATTTAATGATTTGAGATGTAACCAAAAGAATAAGTTTGACGTTCTCTAATCTACATTATGATTTTATTAGAAGCAGTAGTCTTTTTTTTTTTTTTTGTTCTTTCGATTTATGAAATAAGAACGTGAACAGATGAAGAAAAAAGAAATAGTTTTTATGACGCCACATTACATACTCACGTAGAATAATAAAATTTTTTATTTGTTTTTTTCTTTCCTCGCCTCTGTGATTATCGAATCGTAACCAATTTAATGACAACTGTCGGCTGTTACATACTCTTAGAGTATTCTGTCAATGCCGTGATTGACATCAATGAAGAAAAAAGAAAGAACAAAACGCATCTAAATATGACACTTGTTTATTTAAAGAAGACATATAACCATGGTATATACGTAATGAATCCTATGCATTGTTCTTATATATAAAATCCTTTACCATTATTATCATCTGCACATTGAGTATATTCAAAAAATCGATCATGCTTATCTTACTGAAACGACTTACTTGTATTATTAATGTCAAATAAATGAGGACAACAACGCTCGAATTAACCGACTGTTTGATAAGTAAAATTAACTATAGAATAGACACAAAAGATGTGACTATTCTTGAGTAAATGAATGAGAGAACAAAAGCTAAACACATTGAGAAAACCTCAATACAACTATAGAGTGCATCGATTGTCTGTTCTAATAAAATGAATGCAAAAATCACATTCAAGTGACTGATAACGAACGCAAAAAAAAAAAGAAAACTAATTATAAAAGAAGAAGAAAAAAAAAGGAAATAACATACACAAACATATGTGAACCTAGGAACGTCTCGACCTTATCAAGATTGTCAGGAGGTCGAACGGTTTTTTTTTTGAGAATAGATGAGTACAACAAAAAAAAGAAATTCTCAAGATTGAAAGAATAATCCCCTGCCCTCAGAACGCACACACACACACATAATAGTTTTCTAAAGCGTCATCTATGTTTATAGCTATCATTTTTGTGTTAGTTCTACATCTGAGTTCAATCTGATGCTTTTTATCATAACGCGGTACACTAAAAGGTCATATGTTTTTGTTCTTTCCGTGCATTTCTTTTTTTGTGTTTACTCAAGATTGAAGTATTTTTATTGGCTATAGAAATGCACGTTCGCATGATTCGTTTTTCTATATTAGGATACATTGGAAAGATGATTTTATAACCTGATTATGTAAAAAAAAAAAAAAACAGAAAAAACAAATATTATCTATGGTATTTTGTATATAATATATTGGTATGTGAGTAATAAGTTTATCATTGAAGACATATGTCTGTTTAAGTTATTTTAATAATAAAAATAAAATATTTTACATATGACCTCAAAGAACGTTTATTGTATAATCAGTAGAACTAAATCTGTTATGTTATATGACGACTCGGTTTTTTGTTTCTTGTCTCTTTTTGAAACAAGAAAAAGAAAAAAAAAAATTTTTTTTTTTTTGTTGATTATTATCTTTTTTATTTTTATGAAAGAATTTTACAAAGAAGCAAAACCTTAGAAAATCTCATCATAGATAATATCTCGTTATAATGGTCGTTCTTTTTTTTTTTTTACATGAATTAAATATGAACTTTTTTTTTTTTTTTTTTAAAAAGAAAAAAAAAATTTTTTTATTCAACTTCATCAAATATTTGTTCATCATGTGTCGTAGGACGTATTCGCCGACGTAATCGTTGTCCTCGTCGTCGTGCTATAATGAATGAATCTTGTTGTTGTATATATGATGATGTTGACATTGATGGTGGTGGTGATGATCTTGTTGGTGATAAAAGTTGATGTGGATATTGTTTTTTTGTTCCATTTCCATCAAGAATTTGTGTAAGACAACTTATATAATGAATAGCAAGACGAAGTGTAGCAATTTTTGATAAACGTTGATGATCATGTAAATTAGCTTTTGGTACTACACGACGTAATTCATCAAATGCTTCATTTAATGCATGCATTCGATTTCGTTCACGTATTGTTGGTGGTGGTATTGATGATGATGTTGATGGTATTGAAGAATTTCTTATTGTTGTAGATGATTGTATAAAAGGCCATGTATCAATATTTTCATCCATATTATTATTGTAATTTTAAAGAAATATAAAAGAATTTATGATTCTAGAGAAAGAATTTCTTTTCTTCTTCTTTTTCTCGGAAGTCTATCTGATTGGATATCTAATTGATAGATAACAATAATGTCGATAAACAGATATAAAAATGTATAAAGAATCATCGATTGCTAATTGTATGTTAGATGAAGAAAAGAAAATTAAAGAAAAAAAAAAACTAATGTTTATCTTCGAATAATCAGTATGAATGATCTGGTCAGTGAGGCGACATACATATACTCGATTATGATGTATTATAGAAAAGCACAAAAAAAAGGAATAATGCTTATTTTTCTGCTTCATTCAATATGACGAATGATAATTAATGAATAGATTTGACTTAGATAACATATTGAATTTGCCTTTTTTTTTTTTTTTATAGAAATATATCATTAGAAGAGATTCTATTAATAGAAATACATCGTATTGTAAGTAAATATCATATGAGTTTGACTCATCATGATTAGTTTATTGAAAAATATTTCATTTGATTTATATTTTTGAATTTTGTCCATAAGTAATAGAGAAATAAGTTTAAAATGATATAAGTCTATGTTTTGATAGAAAAGTTTTATACAATATCAATAAAAAAATCACTTGGATTTTATTATATTGGTATAGAAGTTCTGCATGTTTGGATCAGTAGAATTATATCACCAATAAATAAAAAAACTACATTTTAAGGCAAATAATTATATATTATGATAGCACTCGGAATTCTCTATCATCCTGTGTATATGAGTCTTGACTTACATTTATTTGCTGAAAAATATTTTAAGTACAGTGAAGATACTCTCATCCTCAGATTTCCACGAACTTCACTTTTTTGTTCCTTTCTCATAAGTCAAGACTTAAATACACAGGATGTTAGAGAATTCTAAGCACTATCAGAATATATTTATGTGCTAATTACGGATCTGCAAAATCGCTTTTTTAAGACTCGATCTTTGACAATGGCTTCATTTCTAAAATCGCGCAACTTTTTTTACGATCTTTGTACTTATCAGATTCTGATAAGACTTAAATAAAGGAATGAACGAATTAAATCTACGTATATAGTGTTGTGTTAGTTGTTTTATATGTATTCAAAAATCTGTGCAATTTGGAAAATTCGGATTCTTGCAAACAGACTCGTAATCAGTAAAGACTTTTATAGAAATAGCAAATAAAAATATTTGATTTACAGATCTTAAATCATGTGAAAATATATTGCATAAAAAACTTACCGGGACCAGTATGAAAAATTTTTAGTTCCAATCTCGGTCCTATAAAAAGTCAAATTTTAGTGCTGGGACCGGGACCACTTTGCAATTCCCTAGTGCTAAGACAATATATTCTTGCTCTTGTCATTTTTCTTTTAATGAATTATAAATATTTTTTTTTTTGTAGGCTAAATGTCGACTACTTTTGCATCAAAATATTTCGGATTCAATTCAATTGATAATAAATATGTTCAACAACATTTTAAACCATCTTTATCCTTCGTTTATGAACATAATCATCATAATCTTATGAATTCTAATTATTCATTGATAAAAGTTAAAAAATTAATATTCCGCCGTTTCAGCTGTTATTAGACGTACAAGGACACCTTGGTGAGACTAACAAAAGTGTATAAGGATTCGTCCATATGAACGTTTCTAGCCGAGTTATGATTATTTTATTGAATTTTCAATTCAACTTAAGATGTATACCACAGAAAACAGATTGTCAAAGTGAAATTTTGCTTATAATTAGATCGAATGACTCGTAAAATATTTAGAAAGTTTTAGTCGAAAAGAATATTCCTTTGTAGGGATGTTCAATTTCCAAAAATCCATGATTTGTCGCAGTTATAATAAAACTTCATGTTGGAATTTTTTTTCGATAAATATTTAAAATATGGATTCAAAAGTTCAGTAAATCGATCCTAACTCATTTCCGAAAACCTATGAAGACGAACCTTTTTACAATTTTACAAATCTCTCACTATAACTTTCTAGTAGAACTAATATAAATTCAAACCTTGGGTTATGTAGGAGTGATAATCTGCCAAAAGTAAACATTTATGACACCATTTATATATATTTTCTTTTTGTCATCTGTTATTAATATAATTTATAATTTGTTCTTTTTTTTTTTTTTTAAAGATTATTTATTAATTCATTTCAATATTCTATCAAATACATGCATAAATACATATTTAGTTTCATTATTGATTTAAAACAGAATTAAGTAATGGTATATCAATAACAAGTACACCATCTTCCATAACTTGTGATGTAACATTATATTTATCAATACCATCTGGTAAACGAATACTTTGACTAAATTGTTTTATTTGATTTTTTTTTGTATATAATGGAAATTTTTTTTTTCCTTCAACTAATAAATTATAATCAAGTAAACGTACATTTAATTCATCTGGATCATATTCACGTGTATCAACTTTTAATATTAATTTTTTTCCATTTGGTGTAAATGTTGGATGAAAATTTGATTGTAAAAAATCTGCTATATTAAAGTTAGAAGAATTTTGAGAATATTGACGATATTTAATATTACCAAGACTACCTGTTCGTTTTGGTACTGTTAATGGTGGTGGTCGTGTTATTTGATGATTTGTTTTATTGACATCAGCATTTGATATTGAATGATTATATTCATTTTTAGTTTGTCGTAATGATTGATTATCAATTGTTTGTAATAATGCTTCATGTGAACGTCTTATAGCATCATTATCTCTTAACATAGGTATATCAATTGTTAATATACCTGTATGACGTATAACAGAACGTATTTTATCAATATCAGCACCTATTGGTAAATGAAATGTTTTAACTAATTCTTTACGAAAAAAATTGTCTGCTGCAAATTGATCAAGATGTAATGCATGTACAAGTAATGTATTATCACGTCGAAGTTTAACAGATATTTCACCTCGAGAAAATTCTGAAACATTTACTTCAATACGTGTTGTTTCAGATGATGATGATGATGATGGTGGTGATGGTGATGATGATAATTTTTGCATTTTTATTTTTTTTAAATAAAAAATTTTTTTCCTATGAACAAAAGTATTGCAAAAAATTATATATCATATGTAAAAATAAATGAAGAAAATTATCTTTTCTAGAAAAAAAAAAGTTTTCCGAACAATCATCATCTATTAAATAGAAAAACAAAAGTGCAAAGCTCAATGAGTATATAAATTCTTCTACGTCATAATATTAAAGTAGACTGAATCTTCCTGACAGTTATTAGAAGATTTAAATGTACAAAATAGTTTTAATTCCAAATCTAAGAATAACTCACTAATCTAAATGTTCTTTTGGAATGTCCTATGATTAGAAAGATTGAAGAGAACTGAATCGCCCTACTGAGAAATTAAAATTTACAACCGTTTGGTAGTAACGAGCATTGATGAATTAAAACGAAGAAGAAAATTATTTAGTTTTTTCAAGAAAAAATTTCCGAGGTTGGAAGTAGAATGTCACTTTAACTAATCCTGCTGCTCAGAACGTCTCCAAATGTTCTTTTTCTCTTTTTAAAATATTTAATTTCTCTTTAGTTGTATAATGACGAAAGTTTTATATACGGTGTTCTAATCATGAGCTGTATTATAACTATGTAGTAATACACCTTGCGATTTAAAATCATGCACGACATCGAACAAACACTCGTTATTTATAAATACAAGAAGCAAAAAAAAAAAATCCGATGATTGCATGATCGATAATGAACACATAAGAAAAAAATTATTTCAAATATTTATTTTCAGCATAGAAATAATGTTTTCCGAAAAATTTCTAATGGATATTTTGATTGATTTTATTGTTTCTATGAATAATAAAGAATAATTTCTACAGACAAATATATTCATTCTATTATTTCATATTGTAAGAATATCTATTTTTTAAAACATATCTTTATAATAATAACAGAAAAAAAAAAGAAAATAACATTAGATTTTCTATAGTTTCCGGCAGTTTTCGAAGGCAATTATCGGGGAAAAAAAAATAGACGGAAACCTGATAATACTATTCTTTGAGAACCTGATAGAGTACAAAATAATCTAAGTTCTCAAGCATTCAATGACACGATATCGACACAGTCGAAATAAAGTAAGACATAAGACAAAAGAAAATTATTTTTATACTAATAGATTATATACAATGTATACACAAATCATGAAGGATCTTTTTTTTTTCTTGGAGGCTATGATATTGAAATCTACTTATATATAATGCATAACATATGATCTAATCAGGTTTTTTTTTTGTTTCTTTTTTTTGATATTTGCATAACTGTCAAATAACGGACAATATAAATCCAAGGATTATTTATATTAAACATTAAAAAAAAATGAGACTATGATAGTATAACTTTCAGTGTTCTATGTTATGTAAAACACGTATGAATTTGTTTTACATGCTGTAGTTTATCCTTATAGAGTAATCTTACATATCCAATCATATGAATTGCGTGACTCTCGAGACGAATGCTAGAAGATCATTAATATTACTCTATATATTTTTTTTTCTCCGGTAACAAATTTTACTCCATTTACTGATTTTTCTCTCCCTGTCTTCCTCCTCCCTCTCGTTTTTCTATCATTAAGTTGGCAATCTGACTCGATTGTTATTTTTTTTTTCTCTGTATATGCTAACATGTTCGAGGCAATTAATAATATTCCGAACGACAAGAAAATGTCCTAGATAGCGCATCTTTATCATCAAGAATATAAATATGAATGAATTCAAGGTCTTGATGAAATGTTGATAGGAAAATCTTACTTAATGTTTAAGTTACCTAGTAAAGAAAAAAATAATAATGACGACCTTATTTTTTTTGGTTAGAATAATATGAATATGTATTGAAAGTAAATATTGATTAGTTCATGTCATAGAGCATTACAAAAAGAAATGATGAAGAAGTAAATATGAATTTAATTTTCTTTGTTCTTCACTATTGATTTTTTTTTTCAATGCGATAAAGTAAAATAGAGATATTTGAAGAGTTAGTAAATTATAATTATCTATGGATGTGTAGTTTTCTTTTCTTTTTTGTTAATATATTTTGTATTATTTAGAATTCTCATCAAAAAAGAAATCGTCGATTATCTTTGTTTGGTATGATGTCGTTTCTTTCTTCTTTTTCGCTATTGTTTTGTTATTCTTTTATGATTATGAATAGGATGATAATTATTTTCTTTTGTTAGTACCTTTTGAAATATAAGATTTTATAAGAAGAGAATAAAAAATGATATGAAGAGAATTATTTATCAACATACCTAGATGATTAATGAAATAATTGTTTATGACACAATCACTTTATGTTAAATACTATTGATTTCGTTGTATTCTTTAAGTATTATTAATAGAAAATTAGTTGATAAGTTACTTTATGGTCGTTGTTTTCGTCAATAAATCACTAATGAGTATCGACACCTCTTAACTGTCTAATGGGTACACAAGAGAGTAGCATATTTCATGGAGAGAAGATATAATGTACGTGTGCGAGGGTTTTTTCTCTCTCTTGCTCTTCTCTTTCTAATAGAGAGAATAAAACAAGAAGAAAAAAAAAAAGACTAAGATCGTTGTAGCATTACTGCCGACTGTCAAAAACCCGGCTCTGATGAGCTGAAAAAAAAACGGCGAAGAAAAGAAAAGGCAAAAATAATAGCTTTACTTAGTCGAGAAGAAATTATTTATTTGGACGATCCTCGTTTCTTCATTGTCCCATAGTACGAGTAGTGATAAACATTTTTTTTTTTCAAGAAGTTCTTGTCACATACTTATTTCAAGCCTACACATATATATATATAATCATGTGTACCTTGTAATTCTATAAATGTCATTAAATAGAGACATTCATTTGGTTTCAAACCCACCATACAATACATTAATATTTGAAGAAGTGCATACATACATCTTTAATTTCTTGTTTAGTTAAATAAAAGCAAGCATTATGTTAAAACATGTATAATTAGAATCAATATTTATTTCTTGAATAAAAAGAAAGATAATGAAGAACAGATGTTTATTGATGGAATCTTATTGTTGAGTTGTTGACGCAAAAAGGAAAATAATTTTTGACAAGATAGAAACGATAAAAGGATTAATATTCAGCAATGTATGTCTATTTCTTCTTCTTTTTTTTAATATAATTAAGTAATGATTATTAGAAATGTTTTCTAATAAGATTTTCTTGTTAATTTTCTTTCATTAATATTGTTTATATTGAATTAAAAATGTTAATATACTGTCATATTGTGATGAGTGGAACAAACAAAAACAAAAAGAAAGAAAATACTTTCGTCTTTTTTTTTTATTTTGCTTTTTCAAATAAGTAAATCTTATTTTGATGTTCTCTTTAGCAAACGAAATTCTCATAAGAGAATTTCTGAATATTGTTCATTTATTTTTATCTTTAATCAATGATAATGATTTCATTTGATATGAAAGAATTTAAATACAAATAAATGTAATTCACAAAGTTAATCATCTTTGCTTCAGTAATAATCAATCAAAAAAAAAAATAGAAAATTCAAGGAGGCGTGAAGTAATATAAAATAAAAATCAATATAAAATACTCAAACTTTAATGCATGAATAAAATGTTATTTATTGATATTTCTTTAATTATTGGATATAATACAATTATATTCAAGTTATTATATAGCTTTTTTTTTTTACATCGAGATACACAATAGATAAAAATGATCGTCATGAACAATGGACAAAATGAACTGAAAAAACGACAAATGACATAGATATTTATATAATTCTTTTTTTTTTTTGCAGTTTTGACTGTGATGCCTTGTGCCATGTATATTTATCTATCAATCATGACACCCACTGACATTCATCTACAGCATGCCAGACTAATTACAATTCAGCTATGATATGTGAAAGAATAAAATGTAAATTTTCTTGACATTGCAGATGTGTAATGAAAATGATATATATATTTCGTCATTTATTAAAATTAATCATAATTGTATTTTAATATCGAATAAAAAATTTTTAGTAGATTATTTAATTTCATATTCGAAAATTTTTTTCTTCAATAACGACAAAAAATCAGTACAAAATTTAATTACATTTAAATCTTATAAAATCTATAAATTTTTGTTTTTTTTTTCTGTTCCCTTTATTTTCAAGAGTAGATCAAACAAAGTATTTTGAAAGTTCTTATTATTTTTATTCGAGAAAAAACAAAAATTGGCATTTTTTAATTATGTTATGCATTATAGAACTTGTCAACTTCATCATAAGAATTAATAAAACATTATTTCTAATAAGTCTATAACATAACATATTCTTTAAATTAAAATAAAAATAAATAAATATATTGAGTACATATCCTAATAGATGTTTAACAAACTTTTATTAATAAATATCTCATGAATATTTCTATTTATTATTCTAATAAGATAACATCTAAGAAAGAAAATAAGGATTTTTTTTTTTTTTGTATAAATAATACACACATATTTTTTTATTAAATATAGAATAAACAAAATTATTTATCTGACATGTTTTTTTTTTTTCTATAAATTTTATTATCAAAATTTATTAATAGTTTGTGTTCGTAAACGTAAATCTAACGGTTGATCATCATCAGTTATATTTGTTATTTTTTCTATTGGCTATAGAGAAAAATCAAATATATAAATATAAATATTAATAATTTTTTTTGTTTTCTTACTATTTCAATAATATCTGTCGTTGTTGTTGGTGTAATAACTGTAGTCGTTATAGTAGATACTTGTGTAGCCGATGGTGTTCGTTTTTTAATTGCTTTTCCTAACAAAAGAAATTATATATATATATATTTTGTTGAGTATATAATAAACAAGATAAGAAGTTTATATTTATACCTCGTTTACGTGTAATTACAGGTGAAAAAGAAGTTCGTTTTCGTGGACATAATAACTAAAACAAAATTTTTTGTATTAGAATAAAATATTTAAAAAAAAAGTCAAAATTTACTGATATATTTTTTGATAAATCATCTTTATGAATACCATTTTCAGCTAATTTTTTTTGTATTTGTTCATTAATTGTTTTTGATGATTGTCGTTGACGTTTTAACATTTTTTTTACTTGTACTATAAAAATAATAATTATAAAATAAAACAAAATAATAATAAGTAAAAAGTATTTTTAATATACTATAATATTCATTGAGTGGTATTAAACCACAATTATGAAGAAAATTTTTAATCTAATAAATATATAAAACAAAATTTAAAATATATATAGAAAATTTTCTATTTACTTCTTCTGGATCACTTGCAGGAATAAATTCATTATCCATTTATTGAAAAAAAAAAAAAAAAAGAATCTAGAATAAATTCAATTAGATTTTTATAAAATACAAATAAAAACTTCTTTTCTTTTTTAATTATGAATGATATATTTCGATACATTCGTCCAAAAATAATGTATTTGACATATGTTTAAGTTTTTATTACATGATTAAATTTCTAACTGTTATTACTAACTAGTGAAAATTTATTAAAAAAAGAATAATATTCGAACGATATGCGATTCTGTATTCTTCCGAAATAGAATTCATCTAAGAAGAAAATGTCCGATTAACACGACATACATAAGTATCAGTCTCATGAGAAAGTATTCCCAACTGTCGAACATCATTTTTGTTGATAAATAACTCTCTACAAGATTAAGAAAAAGTTCAAGTATTAACTCTTGCTTATACCGAAATCTGATGTGATAGATTATCTTATTATTCTTATAAACTTCGAGATCAATCAAATAATATTTTCGGAATTCAACAGAAAAAAGAAACAACTCAACTTCAATATCTATTCTGCTTAAACTAAAAATCACAAATTCATAGAACCTTTTCGTTGAATAAAATATTCTTTTCTTAAGAGTACAAAAAAAAACAAGATCAAAGTAATGATTTTTCTAAATAGACGACATCATACAACAATTCAAAAATCATCGACAAACAGTTATAAAACTCAAAACGATATTTGTTAATTAACAATTTGTTTTTTTTTAATCTAAAATAAATTCATAATATTGAATTTTTATTATTTAAAGAATAATTATCAATAAATTATATATTTAATTAAATAAAATAAAATAAATCACACACAAAACGGAATTAATAGCATTGAGATAAAGCTCATAAAAATAAATAAAAAAAAACAAAAAGAACAAATGTTATTATCACTATTCTATTGTTTAGCATTGTTTTCACAAAACAGATATAAGAAGAAAAATATACACATTAATAATCGCTTCTTTTAATTTCCTTTTCAAGATCTATTATCAATGGGAAGAATATATGACTAGATATAGCATAGATATTGATTATTCAATAAGATCTCTATTGTTCATAAAACGTCGAACAGATATATTTATTGGAAGATTAAAATCGATTGAAGTTAAACGATCAAGTGAATGAAGAGCATCATTAAAACCTTTATATAATAAAATATTTATTTATTTAAAAATCTCTAAGATAAATAGAAATAATTCTATATATATATATACCTGTTTGTCTTGTATAACTCCATGTTTGATAATAATTTTCTACTAATACTACTGTTTGAAAAATCAAACGTAGATATGAAACTAATTTTTTTTCACTAGAAATAAAATATTCATTTAAATTATTGTATTACTTGTAATATCAAAGGTTTTTTTTTTCATAGAACTCATTAAGTTAATCGGAACTAGAACTATCGTATAATAAAAAAAATCTACCTCATTTTTGTCAATTCTCACCTACTGTTAATGCATGTCAATGATGAAAGATAATAATCTCAATAGACTACAATCAGATTAAGAAAACGAGGTCTTACAAACATATCTACCATAATATATGAGAAGAAAGTAACAATACAAAAGTATCTGTAACAAAAGACAGACATTCATCCAGGTCTTTGAGGAAGGAAATAGGCATTATTATAACGTTTGTTGACGATGGATGTTCTCTCTTTTGTATTTCTATATACAATACTCGTTGTAGATTGTGTTTCATAAAAAGAATATGGAATAACAGTATAACTCATTAAGAAATCTTTCATAAAATGTAACACGTCAAATTGTTACTTATCGTTTGAGTTCATATTATGTCTACAAGAACATCTTAGCATTGTTATATGCTTAAAACTGGTTCGAAAATTCAGTAAAATAATCAGAACTAGACTTCAAAGAATCCTAAAGATAAATTCATATAGGCTTCTGCTAGTTTCATTTAGATATTATTGAATATTTGTTATCCGATAGTTTACAACCAAAAAGTTATTGATTTCTCTTAGCATTATGAAAGACGAAGTACAATTCTTCTATTAGACGATTAACTATACTTAATTTCGATCAAAAACAAGTAAATTATACCATTATATCTCTATTTTCAAGTTCCTACTATTTGCCAGAAACTATAAATTTTATATTATATATTTGTTCTATAATCCTTCAAGTTTGTTCTTTTTAAATACATAAACATACTTTAATGCATAACATATAAATGATTTAAAACAACAATCCATTTGTTGTTTTTTATGATTTTGATGTAATTTCATAATTGTATCAATAGCATTTAATAGACACTAAAAAAAAGAAAAATAATCAATATTAAATATTATTATTTCTAGTTTTTTGTTAAATAATACTTCTGTAAGTGTAATTGGTTTTCCACCAACAATATCTAATGAAAATGATTGTGAAAGTTTACGAGCTGGACTATTAGAAAATTCATATCCACTCTTCAAAGAAATCAAAACAAAAAAAAAAACTAAATGTATTTAAATAACTTCAAATTCTTTTACTTTCATATCATAATATTTTAACATTAATTTCCAAATATGCATTGTCTCCTTTTTTGTCGAATAGTTATTCATAGATGATAGTGGAAAACATGACCAAACAGATAAATTTGTAGAAGAACTAGTCTAGATTTAATAATAGATTTATCAAAAAAATTTTAATATCTTTTTTTTGTTTAATTATACTTTATAAAGACCATGTTCAAGTAATGCACGAAGTGCAGGAGCAAGATCTTGTCGTATAGATAAAATAATTGTATCTAAATGATCATATTCCTAAATAAAATCAAATAGATATGAAAGAAATTTTTTTTCGGATTTTTACTTTATATTCATCAGTATCAATTGTTATATTTTTATCATTATTATTTAAATATATTGATAATGTTTTATTTAATCGTATTTTATGAAGAACTTTTTCAATAGCAATATCAAGATCAACTCGAAGATTACTTTAACAAAAAAAAAATGAAATGAAATGGATAAATAAAAATTTTCTTTATATTATATTTACTCAAAATATTCCTGTGAAATAGAATCTTCAATTATAATTCTAGTTGATTGATGAGTTGTTCTTTTCATTGATCTCGTTCCACATGTTAAGAAAAAAATTGTGTAAAGTTGAGTTAATATAAAAAATTTTTTTATCGATTGATATATATTTGGTGAATTATGTTCAAATTGAAAACAGGATAAAAATGTATTTGTGGATTGTGATTGACTTGTTGTTGTTGTCTTAAAAATAGATAAATGATGATAAAAAGAAAAAAAAGGTTTTGACATACAGGTTTTGATTTAGTTTTTGAATTTGATGATGGCACAGATGCAATGGTAGTGTCTGTTCTTGACTTAGTTGAGTCGGCTAAAATTAAGGTTTATTAAAAAAGATTCGAAGAAAAATTAATATTACCTTTGAGAAATTCAATGAATTTTTCCAGATCATTTATTTCTGTACGCATTTGATTTATTAATTTTTCTTTTAATTTGACTGGATTAGTTAACTAGGAAAAATAAATAATGACAAATGTCATATACTGATAGTTTATTCATATCAAAGATAAAGCATTAATGTTTGAAGTATTATAGTTTTCGACAATAGTAATTGATTAAAATATTTCACAAAACGATAATTTATATGATATTATGAAATCAATTATTCAAAAAACAAAAAGAAACAGCATTCACCACAAGATGCGACATGAAAAATTTATTTTAATTATGCACTTTTCTTTTTTCAAAATAAACAAAATTCTCTAAGATCAATGTTCAATACTACGAACGATACCATCTATTGGCAAGCGACGAATTTCTTGTTTTCTGATTTCATCAGTTAATAAATTATAGTTTTCAATTTTATTTCTGTAGGCGATGTCAGTGATTCCTAACTTTTATACGATGTGATATTATCTTGTTTCGTGTGATAATGTTTCATCAGATTTAATTACAATGGAAAACGTTAAATCATTTTTCAATGATTTTAGAAAATTAGTTTCATAGAACTTCACTTATTTTGAAGGGGTTCCAGAATTTCGCCAATTGGCGAAAGTATATTGAACTTTCAGTAATTTCATTGTAAATTAGACGTACACTAAAAAATTTTTTTCACCTACATCGATGAGTGTAAAACTATGATATATGGGGTTGGCCAGTCTGGCCGGATGTCTCAATCCCGTTTTTAATCAATCCATCTCTATAATATGTCAGAAATATCTGATTTTTTTGCTAGTTATAGTGCTCATATAATGCTGATGATCCGCCAAAGAGAAACAATTTATCTCTTGTTTGAAACGAAATCGATAAAGCATCTTTCAAAGCCTTGTGATATTTACCAACAGATAATTCTAAAGACACTTAATGATTGTGATTTGAACTAAGACATAAACTTTTTAGCCTTGGCAGATCATTAGCATTATGCAAGTACTATTACTATTATAAAAATTAGATTTTTCTGATATATTATAGAAACTGAATGACGGAAAAAGGCATAGGAACATCCGGCCAGACTGACCAACCCCATATATATTCTAATAACATTAACTTCAGCGCTAACATATATCCTTTATTAATACTGTTCCATGACCACTGAGATAGTCCGCCTCACTTTCGCCAATATACCCTCAGGGTTTTCGCCATTGGCGAATGTCTTATTGGCGAACATCCCGCCACCCATTTTGAAAAGATAAGATACAAAAAAATCAGAAAAACTTTATTTTGTAAATTGTAGAAATTTTTACGCTACATCTTGTGACATATGTTTTTTTTTAATAAAACGTATTTAGAAAATTAAAATATGCAATATAAAAATTGTAATCATTTATTATAAGTCACCCACTACTTCCGTAAGGAAATTCTTTCTTCTGTTTCATCAACAACAACATTGATGAATGAAGAATATGTTTCAATTATTGTATGTTATTTGATTTAATCTGTTACTTATTCTTAGATCTCTATGACATTGTGACAAGACTAATCATGATCATAACATCGAGCTTCTTTCTAGCAAGGTCATAAA